AGCAGGGAGCCCGATGCGGGACTCGATCCCGGGACTCCAGGATCATGACCTGAGCCGAAGGCAGTCGCCCAACCAACTGAGCCACCCAGGCACCCTAGAGTAACATTTTAAAAGTAACAGGACTAAGATATTAATTTTACATGATATGTTAATAACTAGAAAAATATTCTGAATTTTCAGCATTTTGTAAGTTATACATGGTTGACATTTATACCAATTACATGTGTAAATATGAGGTATAATGATTATATTTAGTTACAGCATACTGCTTTAGAAGGAAAAGAAGTTGTACAATTTAGATATCGTTTTCCACATAATTCAGAGAAAGCCCTGAAAAGTACTGAAGTCACATGAGAAGGAATCCATCCTTCAGTGGGTCGTCATCTTCCACTATAAAACTTGCTGTACCTGTGTAATGGGCTTGTCCAGACACTTCCACTATAACAGCTTTAAAATCCCCACATTTTGCTTCCTGAGAAAAGACGAAAGGAATATAATATCAAAATACTGCACTTATATTGTGTCTGGCCTAGAGTCATATTCTTGATTCTTATCCTTTTAAAGAAAACCCAAGGCTTAATCTTGTAGGTAATGGAAGGTTTTTAAGGAGACTGACATGATCAGATTTGTGTTTTAGGTAACTTTAGCTGTAAAATGAGGACAAGTCAGAGAGAAAAGCAACTAGAAACCTAGAAACTTCTTTAGAGGTAACCTTCATTCGTTGATGAACTCTAGAGTCACTAGGGCAGTTTTTAGGGAGGATGGAGAAGAACAAAACAGAGATACTTTGCAGGTAGAATTGGCAGGCCTGGGGACTGATGTATGTGGGAGGTGAGGAGTAGGAATGAGTTCAGTGCGAACATCGTTCCTAGTTGGGGAGCAAAGCAGGGGCTCCCATTAACCAATAGGGAATTAGATGGGAGGAGCACATTTAGGGAGGAAGGAAGAGCTTTTTAACGAGATGACATATCTCTGAGACAGTCATTTCAAGATGAGTTTGGTAGACATTGGGAGTACAAGTGTTAGACTCAGGAGAGAGGCACACACAAGTAGGCATGGGAGGGATGAAGGCTCAGGAGTCATCATCAGTGGGTGGCTGGGAGTTGAAGTCTCAAAAGTGGGTGAAATTGCCCCATGGCATCAAAATGTAGAAGAGGTGAGAAGGAAACTGAGGATGAAATGCTGGAGATCCGTAAGCGGAAGGGAAAGAGACCAAGACGGTACCATCCGAGAGCTTGGAGGAGTCCGGACAGAGAGGAGAGGTGTGTGGTGAGAGTAAAGATGTCTAATTATTAACTATAAAAGAAATAACTCCAAATCTTAACTACAGAGTATCCTTTTTATTTCTTAAATTTTTAAAATATTTTATTTATTTATTTGACAGAGAGAGACACAGTGAGAGAGGGAACACAAGCAGGGGGAGTAGGAGAGGGAGAAGCAGGCTTCCCCCACGGAGCAGGGAGCCCGATGCTGGGCTCGATCCCAGAACTCTGGGATCATGACCTGAGCCAAAGGCAGATGCTTAACGACTGAGCCACCCAGGTGCCCCTATTTCTTAATTTTTTTAAGATGTATTTATTTGTTAGAGAGAGAGAGAGAGAATGCGTGTGCAGCATGAACAGGGGGAGGGGCAGACGGAGAGGGAGAGAAGCAGACTCAGGGCTGAGCATGGAGCCTAGGTGGGCAGTGCTTGATCTCAGAACCCCAAGATTCTGACCTGAGCCAAAATCAAGAGTTGGACACTCAACCAACCGAGCCACCCAACTGCCCCTTATTTCTTAATTTTTAAACATGAGAATAACTAAATCTTATGATAAAATATCAGTTATTAGATTAGGATACAGTAATTTCATTATCTTTTTATAAAGCTGCTGTAATAAAAGCCTCATTGAAAACTTGCTTTGTCTAATAACAATATAGTAGTGCTTAACAGTGTAGGGTCTACACAGAGAGGTCCACATTCAGAGTCTGGCTCCGATATTCACTAACTGTTGGACCTCTGGCAAATTACCTAAACTCCTAATTCTCCATTTTATCATCTGTTTAAAAAGGATAATAACAGGGTTGACCTGCCAAGATTCTTATGAGGATTAAAATGGTATGTATATATTTATTTTATTTTACTGTATTTATTTATTTTAGAAAGAGAGAGACACACACAGAGGGAGAGGGAGAAAGGGAATCTTAAGCAGGCTCCACGCCCAACTCAGAGCCCAATGTGGGGCTCAATCTCACAACCCTGAGATCATGACCTGAGCTGACATCAAGAGTTGGACACTTAACTGACTGAGCCACCCAGGTGCCCCGAGAAGGTATGAATAAAGTACTTGGCTTGGAACTTTACAGTGAAGCACCCAATAAATGTTGTAGATTATTTTATCTTCAATCTCAACTTGAAGACAATGTGTTCCAAATTTTTGCATATGACATAAACGGTTTGGTATCTCATAAGATCACTATATTAAATAAGAATCCCTAACTTAAAAGAAAATTCAATATTCAGAAAAACCAAACTTCAAAACAGCTATATTAGGATATAAAAGTCTATATTAGGATAGATTTCTTTTGTTTTGTTAAAGGACTCTTTATGAATAGATTCATTTAGTAAATGTACCTACTAAATTCATTCACTAAATTTACTTAGTGTAGATTTCATTTACTACTATTTATTAGTAAATAGAATTTACTATTTATTTCTATTAGCACATTTAAAACTTAACTCTATTACAAAAGTGTTATTTTTCACAACTTTTCAGGACTTTCACATCCTAGTATAAAAAATGAAACTCTCCTATAGAATAAAAACAAAAAAAATCCAAACCCTAAGTTAATGGTTCTCAAACTTTTGGTTTCAGGACTCCTTTATGCCTTAAGATTTGAGCATCTAGGGGCTCCTGGGTGGCTCAGTGGATTAAGCATCTGCTTTCAGCTCAGGTCATGATCCCAGGGTCCTGGGATCGAGTCCCACATCGGGCTCCCTGCTCTGTGGGGAACCTGCTTCTCCCTCTGCCTCTCCCCCTAGCTTGTGCTCTCTCTCCCTCTCCCTAACAAATAAATAAAAAAAATAAAATAAAAAGATTTGAGCATCTAAAAGTTTTTGTTTATGTAGGTTATATCTATTAATATTTACTATATTGGGAATTAAAGGTATTTGTTCATTAATTCATTAAAAAATAATAAACCAGGGGCGCCTGGGTGGCTCAGTCATTAAGTGTCTGCCTTCGGCTCAGGTCATGATCCCAGGGTCCTGGGATCGAGCCCTGCATCGGGCTCCCTGCTCAGCGGGAAGCCGCTTCTCCCTCTCCCACTCCCCCTGCTTGTGTTCGCTCTCTCGCTGTGTCTCTCTCTGTCAAATAAATAAATAAAATCTTTTTTTAAAAAACTAAAGTAAAAAATAATAAACCCATTATATGTTAACACAAACAACGTATTTTGGGAAAATAACTGAATTTGCCAAAACAAAACAATTTTAATGAGGAAAATGGCATGTGTTTTACATTTTTGCAGACCTCCTTAATGTTTGGTTTTACAGAAGACAGCTAGATTCTCGGATCTGCTGCATTCAGTCGGTTGGCTTATCACCTATCGTGTAGCCTCTAGAGAGTCCACGGTACACTCGTGAGACAATAAATTGAAAAGCAAATAATATCTTAATGTTAATGCATACTAAGTTTTAACCTTGTGGACCCTTGGAAAGGACCTTGGGGACCCCCAGGGGTTCCAAACCACACTTTGAGAACTGATATCCTGGCTGAACAGAAGTTTTTACAGGCCTGCTTTAAAATTCTCTTTCGAGAGCTGAGTGAAGAAACTTACCCAACATCCAGCTCAGGCCTCTTCAGTTTCCAAAGTAACAGACTTACAAAGAGGAAGCTAACGGTGTCACTCACCCTCACAGCCTTCCCCATGAATACTGAGCCAGTTGCACTGCTTTTAAAGGCCCTGGTCTGGTTCAGTTCTAGAAGCCCTTTGTGGTACTGTAAGGCAATTCGGGCCGTCACTCCTGAGCCAGTAGGACTTCTGTCCACCTGTTCCAGAGTAAATGAAGATAAGAGTGTTCACCGTGTTCCAATTCCATACTGTCTGGCTTTTGTGCCAAACGTTACAGTTTTAATACCTGTTCATCTGCAAACACGCAGATGTTGGCGGTTGGCTCCTCGCTGTAAGTGTCTTTTCCATCTGTTAATATAGTTCCGTACAGAAAGGAAAGATCTTCACTCTCAGGATGATTAATTTTAAACTGCAAATGACAAAGAAAATTATCGTGTAATATAAATTGTCATGTAAGATTACACGTAAAATAAATATTGTGATTCAAATTTATCTTTATAAATAATATAGATGGGGTACTCGGAGGCATAACTTTTCACTCTGTCATTTTTAAAACACCTTTTGGGTCAAGGCAGTAAATGATGTCTTTGTCTAGATGAATAAACATAGTTTCATTGGAAGTTAGGATTCTTATCATACTCTGAGTCCTTTCTAAGGAATTTGTCCCGCCTGTAGCCTCTACTGAAGGAACAGTCCTGTTATATATACACACACACTCCAAGCACTATTTTATACACACACACACACACACACACTCCAAACGCTCACACTCTTTGAAGCACTGACCCCAGACCGGCCACGGCTCTTCCAACAGGACAGGCTAAGGCAGTCCTGTGCTCCCTCTGAGGAGCTTGAAGGGGATAAGGTAGAAGAACCAGACAATGAACACCTAGAGCCGAAGTTAATACCGTGGGCAGAGACGAGGCCTTGGAAGAGGCTGTGGGAAGGCTGTGAGGGTGAGTGACACCCTTGGTTGCTTCTTTGTAAGTGTGTGACTTTGGAAACTGAAGAGGCCTGATTTGGGTGTTAGGTAAGTTTCTTCACTGAGCTCTCAAAAGAGAATTTTGAGCAAGCCAAAGGTACAAGAATGCAGAAGCTATTGGGTAAGAGAACAGTTGGATGAAAAAAAAAAAAAGATCTGTAAAGGAGGAAGGCAGCTGGTGCTACAGAAAGCAGCACATATGCTCAGAGAAGCGTGCCCTGGCATGGTCGCTAAGTCACCTCTGTGGTAAATCAAGGTCAGGCCCAAGTGTGCAGCGCTTCCTGCTCTTCTCGGGAGGCCTCGTTTAACTTTTCCTCATTTTCTGTGACATCTGTTAGCTCTCAAACTATAATCTTACTTCCGTGGGCATCCTTACAATCAGTACATTCCACTGCTACTTACCTGTCATCTGAAGCAAGTGAATAGATTTGGTTCTGAAAATCCAGAGTCCATCGAAAGCCAAGTTTAAGCGGTCTTCCTGCTGGATCTTTGTTCTCCATCCTCTGAAAGCCCCCATGCCCCACCCCCACCACAGCATCATTACCTCGCACTCCTCATGGTATTCTTCCCCCGCCAGACTGAGCTCCCAGAAGGCGGGTTTGTTCTTTCCTGGAGTCCCTAGCATCTAACATAGCATCGTGTGCGACTCACTAAGTTCTAGGTAAATGTTTGTTAAAAGAAGGAAGACACCTGAAACTAATATTACACTGTATGTTAACTAACTGGAATTTAAATAAAAACTTTAAAAAAAAAAGAATAAATGAATGAGGATGAATGTGTACTAACTTCAGCCCCCACCAAAATGGCCTTTCCCTGAATCTGCATCAGCAGTGTGAATGGTCAGCGGTTAACAAAGTAGTTCTGCTGCCTGATTCAGCACTAATAGATGATGCTATATATCGTCATCTCATACGTGGTTTTCTCCTATTTCTCTCAGAATCCCTCCCCCCTCGAGGTCCACCCCTTCTCCCCTTGGTCAGAAGTTCACGCTTTAATGAGAAGTTCAAAATTACTCCTTTTATTAAGAAAACTATGCCTTTTTCTCTTGATCTCATTAAAAATAAAGTTATTTCATGCCAAATTTTAGCTCAAACTCTAAGCTGCTTAATGAATAGAAAATTGATATAAATTCAGAACCTCAGAAGTTGCTATGATAAACTAATTCTAGCTATTGGTATTGACAGTCCTAGATAAATGACAATTTAGAACAGGAATAAAGTATATATTTTCATCTTGTTTAAGTTACAAATTATGTTAAAGTCTCAGGTATGTTAAATAGGCCCATAGTAATTATTAGTACAAGTATATTAGGCACTATCTTTCACAAGTTATTTTTTACTTAGAATAGTGATTAAATTCTCATATGCTAAAACATTCAAATACTGTATATGAGTTTTATTTACAGGTCCCAATGTAAAATGGCAGACTTGTGCTAGAAATGAAAGAATATTCTAGATATATTTATTATCCAAACTGATTTTATCAGAATAGTTTTCCCAAGCCAAAATTAGACTTACTTGAGTAGTTACTTAGGTAACTTCTTAGCAGTATAAGAAAAATTTACTAATTAGGAATTACTGTTCTCTGTGAAATAAGAGAAAGTCTGAACAGATTTAATGAAATCTATTTTGTGAGCTATAATTGACATTCATTATTTGCAAGTTTTGCAGAATGACCACATATAGCAAAGTATATGCATTTCAAATTAGTGAAATACTGTTTGATACATTTTCTATATGTGTAAATAACCACAAATTATACTAGTATGTATATAATTAAAGTTAATAAATTACTTATTGAACATTTATTATAGGTTGGCATTATTCTAAATCCTTTGAATGTATTGACTTACTTCATTCTTATAACACCCTATGAAACAGGTATTTTGTAATTCCCATTGCACAACAGGAAGGTTATGTAACTCATTCAAGGTTGCAAAACTTACAAGTGGCAAAACTGGGACTCCTAGATAGTCTTGCTATAGAGCCCAAGATTGTAACCAGTACCTTATTTTTAGTCCTACTAATAATTTAAATATGTAGATATTTAACTGCGTAGACGTGTAATTTATATTCCCTCCATGCCGCAGAGGAGGGCACGTGTGATGAAAGCGGTGTTTGTACTGACCTGAGCTTTGACTGCTTCTGTCACTGCACTCGCTGCATCCACAAGGTCCCTTGTCTTTGCAGAACAAACGTCAAGTCCTAACTTTTCAGCACTAACAAATGCATAAAATGCTCCACCATATGCAATGTCTACCACCATCTTTCCATGACCAGGAACATCCACTAAGAGATCTAAAAAAGATGTGTTTGAAAATAAGTTTGTTGGGGCGCCTGGGTGGCTCAGTCGTTAAGCGTCTGCCTTCCGCTCAGGTCATGATCCCAGGGTCCTGGTATCGAGCCCCGCATCGAGCTCCCTGCTCAGCGGGTAGCCTGCTTCTCCCTCTCCCACTCCCCCTGCTTGTGTTCCCTCTCTCGCTGTGTCTCTGTCAAATAAATAAATAAAATCTTAAAAAAAAAAAGAAAAGTTTTTTAATAGTATTTTGGCAGTACAATTCAGAGCATTTTTAATATGTATATTTTGGTGGAGGGGTACATTTTCCTATCATAGAAAGGAATGAAGCATTTTTGAAATGAGTAAGCATCAAATAATAATAGACATTTAGCTGAGTGCATTTATTTTTAACTTAATGATACATAAGTTTTAGAACATCTAATGCCATGTTTTTCTTAAATCGTGTAAACTTATTTTGTTAACCACTTTGAGGATCTTTGCTAGAAAACCTCATAGAGGCAGAGAGAGGGGAAATCCTGGGACATCAATGTGTGAAAACAAGGGCAGAAAATGAAAGTCCCCTCTCATACTACTACTAGGAATTGTTTAAAGATTTTATTTGTTTATTTGTCAGAGAGAGAAAGCAAGAGAGAACACAAGCAGGGGGAGCGGCAGGCAGAGGGAGAAGCAGGTTCCCTGCTGAGCAAGGAGCCTGATGCAGGGCTTGATCCCAGGACCCTGGGATCATGACCTGAGCCGAAGCCAGACACTTAACCTACTGAGCCACCCAGGCGTCCCTACTAGGAATCGTTTAATATATGATTTTGGATCCTATTCACAAATTGGCTTTCTTCAGCTATAATGTCAAAACAAAATGAAAAGATTTTTCTATGTAAGTTATATATACTAATTCACCTATGTATTTTCATTTCATGAAAGCATCCTGCAGGCAAATACTCAGAATAAAGCCATTATGGAATCACTGATGTCTACAGTATCATTTTGTATCAGGGTTTTAAGTATTCTAAGTCCTCAACTTACCCAAAGTTTCACCTGAAGGTCAGTTGTTTGAAATCCTAAATTCATATTTCCAAAAGGAATGGGGTTAGATGATATTTTAGGATATTCAAACTGTTTTACCCGTTCTTGCATCTTCCTTTTCCTCCTCCCCAGTTCAAGCTGGCTTGGTGATCACTGCCTCTGGGGGAGATGTATGGCAGGGGAGAAAGTAGGTTTTATGGAAACCTAAGATCTGGGGGGAGAGAGGTTTGTTGGCCTGAAGGGTCACCATATTTCTCTTGGTCAATAGAGAAATTTCCTCTGGACCGAGAAAAGAGTTGGCAGGTCTGGAGTGCAGAGGACCTGTGTTGACTTCCCCAGAGTACTATAGGGAGGCTATAGGGTGTGAGAGAGATAGCAAAGAGGACGAGAGGCAGGGACAGGGGCCACATGGCCAGGGGCAGATGATGCTTCACTGGTTGACCATGCAGGCTGATGACTAAAAGGCCCTCCTCTCCAAAGCCTTGGCTCTTCAAAGAAACCTTTGCTACACATGTATCAGGAAAGGGGACAGCATGTAGACAGATGAGGCTAGGTAAGTCAACAAGGCAGAATGGGGCCTCAAATGCAGAAATTCTGAAAAATAAAATATTGCTTATATGCCTGAGTTTGCACACTGACTCATACAAAGATACCAATCAGTATGCTATCCATTCCAGGCTGGCCCACAGAGCCCTTCTAACACATGGTGTGTCAAAACAGAGCAAGTTTATAATCAAGAAAGTAAAATATGCCCGTGGGGCTTAAAAGGAACTATGAATGAAACATCTTTATCTTGATGCTGGTGCAACATAAAAATCAGACTTAATGAAAGGAGAATGAGGACGTAGATGGAAATGAGGGGCTGCTGGAAGCTGGAAAGCTAAGTGTGGCTTTGGTGTCCTCATGTGTAACATGGAACTGCTGTCCCCGCCCAAAAGGACTGCTGTGTGAATTCCATGTGATAATGTGTGGGGAGTGCATGGCACAAATCAGCCATACATTAATGTTAATAGTAAGGCCAAAAATTTAATTTCCAAAGGGAATAGGGTTCTTAAGAGGATATTTACATTTGCTAATCACCATAGTCTTCTCCCAGTTTCATTCACTTAGTTACTCATTCAACAAATATTGACTACCTACTGTTCTAGCACTTGAATACAGTAACAAAACAAAGTTTTCATTTTAGCAGAGTGGAATGGAAATGAACTCAGCAATCTTCTGAGGTGGGTACTGTTGTCATCTTCATTTTGCAGATGATGATCTTGAGGTGTGGAATCCCTTTTGCAAGGTCATCAAGATGGAGATGGGACAGAGCAGTGATCTTGAACACTTGTCAGTCCACTGTTTTAGCATTTTTCAAAGTACAGAATTTAGGATCTTTTTTTTTTTTTTAATGGAGGGACTCCTTTCTTTTCTTTTCTTTTTTTAAGATTTTATTTATTTATGTGACAGAGAGACAGCGCAAGAGCAGGAACACAAGCTGGGGGAGTGGGAGAGGGAGAAGCAGGCTTCCCTCGGAGCAGGGATCCCGATGCGGGGCTCGATCCCAGGACCCCGGGATCATGACCTGAGCCGAAGGCAGACGCCCAAAGACTGAGCCACCCAGGTGCCCCAGGATCTTTTTTAATGACTCAAAGTGACCATTACTGCCCACCAATTATTGTATAGTCACACAGCGCTGCTCTCGGGAACTATGGTGCTTACAGACTGGCTGCCCTGACCCAACCAGCCCTGAACTATGATGTCGTTGGTGATCCTGCTGCTAGCTGTCATTTCCCGCAAATCTAGAGCACTTCCAATCTGCTGCTGGGGTTGCCTAAGGAGAAACTGGATAGCTAAACTATTTAAACTGCTGAGATTTTCGAGATGCAACCTAACCAAACTCCTGTCTATCTCAAGTGCCCTCCCAATCCGGATGTGACACTGTTCTCTCCTAGAGGGCAAAGTGCCATCAGTTCCCCCAGGGGAATTCTTCATCAACCTATGTGTTTCAGCTGCCTGAGGTTGCTCTAAGACTGACAAATGCCTGGGCTATTACTGCCTCATTCATAATTAGGCTAAGCTAGAATCCAAATCCTCAAGAAAGATCAAGATCTAATAGAATGCCCCCGATGTTTATAGCAGCATTATCAACAATAGCCAAATTATGGAAAGAACCCAAATGTCCATCAACTGATGAATGTATAAAGAAGATGTTGTATCTGTATTTATATGTACGTATATAATGGATTACTCAGCCATCAAAAAGAATGAAATCTTGCCATTTGCAACAATGTGGATGGACCTAGAGTATATTATGCTAAGCAAAATCAGAGAAAAACACCGTATGATTTCACTCATGTGGAATTTAAAAAACAGAACATGAACATAGGGGAAAGAAAAAAAAAAGGGAGGCAAACCATAAGAGACTTAATGATAGAGGACAAACTGAGGGTTGCTGGAGGGGAGGTGGGGGGTATAGACTAAACGGGTGATGGGTATTGAGGCACTTGTGATGAGCACTGGGTGTTATACCTACAGTCTTTCTGTCTCTAAAAATATATTTTTAAAATTTGTGAGTGTTTTGCATACTATCATTTAATCCTCACCAAAAACTCAATGAGAAAACAAATGAAAAAATATCGGCACAGAGAGGTTAGTAATTTGATTAAGGTTGCATAGCTTAAAGGGGTTGTCAGTATTTGGACTCACACAATGTCTGTTCCTGTTTCTTAAAGAATAAGAGCAGCAACATCTGTATCTTCCCAGTTTATAAATTGCTTAGTTCATTCATTCTTATTTAATTATTTCCCAAAGAAGTGGGGAAGGCACTTTTTACAGGTGAGGAAAACAAGACAGGGCTTAGTAACTTGTCAGGGGGGTAATGTCTAGTAAGTGTATTCTGAATCAGCCAATGAACCCTGGTACATTGGCTGTTCTTTGCTCTTTCCTTCCTCAGACTCACCCAACTGTGAAATCTCTAGGAATGCCTGACAGTGGGGAACGAGGCGCTGAGTAAGGGAGACACGGAATTCTGTACTCCTCAAGGCTCTCTCAAGACCAAGACGAAATCTGTGGGATAATCGAATTGCATGCACGGCACAAATCTGCAAGGCTAAGATGCTAACACACATTTGCATTGATTTTATGTTTTTATTAATCGCAAAGGCTCGTGGGTGGGTTAACTGCACTGCGTGAGTTCCAGGCCAGAGAGACGGTTAGTGTAGTTAGTTGCTTCCCGGAGCTGGGAGGGTCTCCCCGTTTACCTGTGGCCAGCGCGAAAGCTGGCACGCTGTGGAAGCGCACCGGGCCGCGACTGCGGCCGCCCTCGCATTCCACGAAGGCCGCCACCAGCCCGCACGGGCAGTGGATGTTGACGCGGGCCTCGCGGGCGCCGGCCGGGGGTGCGGGTACCAGCCCGAAGTCGAGGGCGAAGCGGCCCAGCGCCAGCACTGCATGGCCGCACATGGAGCTGTAGCCCTCGTTGTGCAGGAACAGGACGCCCAGGTGCGCGTCCGGCAACTCGCTAGGCACCAACACAGCCCCGTACATGTCCCGGTGCCCCCGAGGCTCGAACATGAGCCTTCGTCGCAGGTGGTCAAGGTGCTGGCGCATGTAGCGCCGCTTGGCCAGCAGCGTGGGGCCGACCACTTCCGGACACCCAGCCAGCACGATGCGCAGGGGCTCGCCGCCCGTGTGCATGTCCACCACCGACAGCGCCGGCGTCCCCGGGTCGTGCGGGGGCAGCCGCGGCAGCGCCAGCGCCCTCTCCATCGCCTGCGTCCGGGAACGCGACCACCTCCCGGCGGTGCGCTCTTCGAGCCTCCAGCCCACCCGCCTACTCCGCGGGAGAGCTTCAGCACTTGAGGCCGCCTCCGGGGCGGGGCCTCCGAGAAGAGACCAGGAAGGGCGAGGGGGCGGGGCTTCGGGTGGTCGCCCGGGTTACCAGGAGGCGGAGCCGCCGAGGCGGATGTGGCCCGGATGTCCGGGCGCTGCCGGCGGCTGATCCCGGAGCTTCTTCCGGGAAACCTGCAAGCGGCCAATGGGTGAGTGGTCGCCGAGGTCGCGGAAGCCGTTTGTCTTAGTCCCTGCTTCTTCCCCACGCTGGCGGCTTTGGGCTGTGCTCCGGGGGGCGGCCTCCGGTTAGCGGCGCATCCTTACCCCTGGCTCGCACCGTCTCGGGCGGGCCCTCATCTCCTCCCGGGGTCGGGGTGGTCTCGGCGCCCTCGGGCTGCGGAGGAGACACGCCGTAGAGGGGAGGCGGGCTGTGTGTGCCAGGGCAAAAGGCGAGGCCTTGGTTGTGTTCAAGAGGTCACTTCAGTCCCTTTGTTTAGCATTCGTGAGGGTAGACTTCAAAATTTAAACAGCGGGAGTCAGTAAGTGCCAACAAACGGGAAAGGGGGCGGAAACTAATTGCTGAAGTCGCTGGCTTCTGCATCAGACGTTGTTTATAGGGCCCTTCACAAAGGGCAAGACCGTTGCAAAAAAAAGTCTTAAAATTTTAGCCACCCTCCAGTAAAGGGAAATGGGAGGGGAAATTGAACGGACACGGGGAGCCTTGGTTTTGTTTGGTCGGTGATGAGCTGTTGCTTTCACTTTGGTGATTTTCAGGCCTTGGGTTTTGAGAACTTTAGGTTATTTACATTCAGATGTATTTATTAAACACCTACTAGATGCAAAAACCATGTAGAAGAAGCCTCCAATTCTTTCACTTCTGTCTTCTCAAAAACTCTGAAACAGTTCATTTTTGTCTGTTAGTAGTTTAGGACATACTGATTACAATTGATTAAAAAGTATATGCCAAATAAGGTAAAGAAACCCATGGATTTTAAAAATTCAGAAATTTGGTAAAAGTGAAAATATTAACTTGAAACATTTTAGTCAGTGCTCTTTGTATTGTTTCTCAGCAGCACAAGGAGAAAGAAATCAAAAGTCTACTTGAATTTGAAAGGAGAAAGGACATTGTGGACCAAGCAGTCTCTATTGTGAATTCATGAAGAATTAGGGAAATTATTCAAGAATAGTGAAAGGAAGGAAAAATTCTCTACTTTTAGGGTCTTCCAGCTGGACTAAAAATTAAGTTCACATGAGACAGATTAACAGAAAAAAACAACAACCAAGTTTTATTATGTGTGCATGGAGGCCCAATTATGAAACTAAGACTTAAAGAAATGACCAATGCAGGCAGTTCTTTATACATTATCGACAGAGGCAATAAATTTGTGAGGAATTTATGGGAAAAGGAAAACAGGTGTTTGGGCTAAGGTTTGGGCTAAGATTAGCAAAAAAGTAACAAGGTTTATTTTTGCAGCTTTTTTGACTTTAAAGTCATTATCGCTGGTAATAAGGATATCTTTTTACTGCTTTCAGGGGGACGGAGGAGGTCTCAGTGTCCTTGCCCCTGTTGTTTCTTAAGTAACTTTTATTTCAAATAATATGCCAAAATGGTACATTTTGGGAGCCTGTCCCTTGACCCCTACAATAGTCATAAAATGCATAATTTTCCAAATTAATTCACATTTGACCACAGTTGTTTTGGATTTAGGTTCTTTGAGGGCAGGGACTCTTGTTATGTTGCTCTGTGGATCTTTAGAACTTCCTAGCCAGGGAATCTGATACTTAATGCACGTTTATTGAATAAGTGAATCAATGAACGACGGAAAATCAGATGTCTCTGATGAAAAAAACAACAACCTCCTTTAATAACTTCTTGATGAGGTCAGAGACAATCTGCAGGCACTGAGGTTTTTTTGTGAAGAAAGCTGCTTTTTATTTTGCCCAAGCTTTGAGAGCAGGGGGTTGATTCTAAGGTAGTTCCCAAATATAGGTCAGAGGCCCAGTGACAGCCTTGATGAAATTTTCCCCTGTCCTCAACAAAAATGACAAAGTTAGGACAATGTAGTAATCTTTTTCTAAAGGTGAATTTATTTACTTTAAAGGCCTGTCCTTTATTTTGAAATTATTGCTCTTCTGGTATTAAAATGTGTTCTATTATGAACGAAGGTGGTATTTTGTGTGTGTGTCTCTGTGTTGTATGTGTGCACACTTAATGTTCTGACTGGGCAAAATAGGGGTGGTGATCCTCTATTAGTTTTCTAATTAAAAAATGGAAATGCAAAAGTCTAGACCATCTAATCAAGGGGGACTAGCTGCTGGAGCCATTGGAGACATACCAGGTTAAGCTTTGAATTCTGGGGATAGATCCCACTTTGCTGGTTGATGGGTCTTAACCATAAAGAATAGAATTAACAACAAGATTTCGGTATAACTTTCTGCAGTGGCACAGTGTAAAAGGGGAAATTTAAGTTTAAAAATAAGTGCATCGAGACTTTTGTCTAATACGTATCATTTTTAACAACTGTGTTGAGATATTTCTGCCAAGTGCTTCAACTGCTTATTACATTATTTTTTATAATCACAAAAGATGTTACTTTACTGGCATTTGTTTTTAAAAAGCTGTCGATATTCAACCAGCATGCCTTGGACTTTACTGTGGGAAGACCCTATTATTTAAAAATGGCTCAACTGAAATATATGGAGAATGCGGGGTAAGTCTTAATTAACATGTGTATGCTATTTCATTGCTAAAATCTTTTTGCTTTTGAAATATTTTCACATGTAGAATATCTTTTTTCTTCAGTATACTCATTAATTTATAAAAATATGAGGCATTAATAAAATTCTTATCTGTGTTGTATTGTCTATAATATATTTTTCTTGACAGTCACAGTTTTTTTTAAATCATTTTATAATTTTATAATTTCTAATTATTAATGCTGTAGTGCAGTGACTTGGGCAGTAAGAACATTAAAACTCAGAACTTTTCTCTAATTATTTTTATATAGCGTTATTAACTAAGTTTATCATTTAATGTTAGTCAACTATTTGTAACTTAGCAAAAGGAATCTATTAAAAGTGTTTACAGATACACCAAATAACAATGTAGATTTATTTTACATACGCACTTTTTTATTTCTAAAAGATGCACATGTGTACATGTTTAAACTGAAATGGGATGTCTTTATAGAATGACTTTGGGATATTAATGTTCTAAAAAATATCTACATAAAATATTGTTTTTATATTGTAGGTGTGTCCAAGAGGACAAAGAACAAATGCACAGAAATACTGTCAGCCATGCACAGAGTCTCCAGAACTTTATGATTGGCTGTATCTTGGATTTATGGCTATGCTTCCTCTTGTTTTACATTGGTTCTTCATCGAATGGTACTCGGGAAAAAAGAGGTTAGCACTTTCTATGAATGTATCTGGATGGACTGATGTTGGAATAATGGTCATTTAGAAGACCTTATTAAATAATTATACTTGTAGTGAACCTGTTTTTGCTTTATATTCTGATGACTTTGACTGTGGCAAGAAAACTTAAGGATAGGGTATGCCTCAGTAATATAAAGGGAAATATCTTTTGTTTTACTCTAAATGATCTTGAAGGAATTTTTTTTCATTTCTCAATTACAGTCTTTATGGGTTTTCTACAAAGAATTGGTTATGATTACAAACTGTATTGCTGTAGAACAAATACTTCATGATTTGATTTAATACTAGTAACCTAGTATAATGTAGTTAAAATGATATAGCTGCAACCTAATTATGAAAACTGATACTAGAACATTAAGCCAACAAGCATTTATTGAGCCCTGTGTTTTATGTTTAGAAGATCAGGGGAGGAGGTACAGAAATAACTGATGTGGTTTATACTTGTAATCTTGTAGAGAAGACAAATGTGTATACAACTAATTATAAATCAGTTTTAAAAGTATATAAACAAGTGTATAAAAGTGTTATGAGGGGTGCCTGGTGGCTCAGTGGGTTAGGCGTCCGACTCTTGGTTTGGGCTCAGGTCATGATCTCAGGGTCATGGGATCCAGCCCCGTGTAGGCTCCGTGCTCAGTGGAGTGTGTTTGAGATTCTCTCTCTCCCTCCTCCCCTCCCCCAGCTTGCACTCGCTCACACTTGCTCTCTCTCTCTTTCTCAAATAAAAAATCTTTAAAAAAAGCACTATGAGCAAAATGCCCTAGAATCACAAAGAATAGAAGAGATAAATTGTGCCTGATGTGATCTGAAAGACTTCAAAAAAACATTTTAGGCAGAGGAAACAGCATGAACAGTGGCATGGAGGTATAAAATGTGTGCTGTGTTTTAGGTGGGACTAGAAGTAGTCTGGGGTGGTCAGAGTGTGGATTGCACATCAAAGAAAGGTAATAAACAGGAGAGTGGGAAAAGTAGGTTGAGGCCAAAATGTGAAGGTTGGTTTGTTTGTGAGAAAGAGAGCGCAATCATGCAAGCAGGGGGAGGAGCAGAGGGAGAGGGACAAGCAGACTCCGTACTGAGCGTAGAGCTTGATGTGGGGCTCCATCTCAGGACCCTGAGATCATGACTTGAGCTGAATACAAGTCAATCTCCTAACCGACTGAGCCACCCAGATGCCCCTGGAATGTGAAGGTTCTTGATGAGGATGTGAAGTTTATACTGGGAATGCGGAGCCACATTAGTACATTTCAGCCCTACTGGCTTTTAGTTCCTCTAACTTCTCAGCATCTTTCCAGCCTTAGGTCCTTTCCCTTTCGCCAGCTCTTCTCTGCCTCAGATGCTCTCTTGTCCCTCTGACTGCAACTTTTTACCTAGCTGTCCTTTTCCTTCAGATTTCAGTTGTTGTAGAGGCCTTCCCTGACCCAGTTTAAAGTAGGTCTGCCCCCTTTATTTTTCTTTTTTAATAACATTCTTCATTTTATTGTTTTGGGTTTGTAGTTAGCACTCAGCACAATCTATAGTTAGGTTAGTTTGCTCTGATCTCCCGACTAGAAGTCTGTGAGGGCAGTGGCCATCTCTGCTCTCCATGGACTCTCCAGAGACCAGCACGGCAGCCAGCACGCAACAGATGCTCATTTAGTATTTGCTGAGTGCATGATTTATTGGTGAAGGTTTTGGCTTAAAGAAGTAGCATCACTGGTTGTGTAATTTTAGGAAGGTAACCTCTATAGAGGGTAGGTGAGAGGTGCGGCATATTAGAAGACTGTTTCCAAGCAGGGATGGCCAGATTCCAGTAGTGTGAATGGGAATGGAAAGGATGGGCTGATGGAAATAGAATTAGTAGTTTTCTGTCCACCTAATAAATCCAGGCTGATTATTTATATTGGAAAAGCCTTTGTTCTTTTTCAGATGGATCTGTAAAAAGGTTTTTTAAAAAGTAGCTCTCATCTTTTAATTTCTGTTATAGAATGATGAGAGATGAGGGCAAGAAAGGAGACGTGATAAACTGAAAGCTAAAGTGGAGTAATTGCTCAGCTAGTTGGTTGGAACTTCTCAGCCATAAGCAGGGAAAGATGGGGGTATAGAGATGTACCTCCCCAAATGTATTTGAATTAAAACATCAGATATGTTTTGAGGGACAGTCTTGGAGCAGAGGGTGGGGTTTGGTTTGAGGGTAGAGCAGAGGAGTGAGTAGTTCTCAGGCAGGAAAGCAGGTGGGTTTAAAAAGAAGGAGTTTGCATAACTTAGGTGTGCTTTGCCTAGGAAATTGGCAGCAAAGAACACAAGAGCTATCTCTTGAATTTTCCTGAGATGTTGCCCTTATAATCAAGGAAGTAGAGGCCTAGCTGTCTGAGGCTAGACCAGTGTTTCTCAACCTTTTATTCATTGTCACTTCCTTAAATAAGGAGCCTTTTTAGATACTTTTTTCAAATTCCACCTTCCCCCCCATGAAATTTTAATGTCATAAATATACTGCTTATTTGTTTATGTTGTGTATGCATCTATGTGCTATATATAACAAATGTAAGATTATTTTATCCCCAAGAACCAATTCTTGCCCTCTTAGGAGTGAAGTCACCTATTGAGAATGCATGGGCCAGACTCTCATCAAAACTTTCCTTTCTGGGCGCCTGGGTGGCTTGGTTGGCTAAGCGACTACCTTCGGCTCAGGTCATGATTCCGGGGTCCTGGGATCGAGTCCCACATCAGGCTCCCTGCTCAGCGGGGAGCCTGCTTCTCCCTCAGCCTCTGCCTGCCATTCCCCCTGCTTGTGCTCGCTCTCTCTGTGTCAAATAAATAAATAAAATCTTAAAAAAAAAAAAACTTTCCTTTCTGGTACTCTTGCTTTCCCCAGAGTTTAGTATTAAATTTGTTTTTCTTTAAGGTCAGGGCAAAGATAAGCAGAATTACATATTTTTATGCATTATGGTCAGAAGCTGTGCTTCTTATGTGATTTTTTTTTTTATATAATTTATAACTTTTAGAACGTACTCAGCAATCACTAGGGATGTTTGCAATGTGCCAGATGCTGTACTGGGTTGCAAGATTCAGAGATGACTGAAACGTGGATGCTCCCAGTACAGTGGATGAGATAGAAAAGCCATCACAGTATTTGTGAGGTTCTGTAATAGGCTGGCATGAAGAAGAAAGAAGTTAATTTTGCCTTCTCAGAATAGGGCACTGTCACAGAAGAAAAAACTGACTTTAAGCTGGACTTTGAAAAGTGAATAGATTTTGATAGGAATTGAAGAAAAAGTCTATCAGCAGGAAAAAGATGTGCAAAAGTATAGAGGCAAAAAGTGCACAGTGTAATCAAGAAATGAGAGCTGAGGGTCCTGTGAGAAATAGGGACTAAATGAGACAGGGTTATAAAGAGATTTGGGACTACAAGAGTCTTAGGAAAGATTCATAAGACCTGGGGATAACTCCAGAGCTGATCTTGACGGATACACAGCTTGCCAGATAGGTGAGAGAAGCATGCCCACATGTGTGGAGGCGTGAGGAGAAAAGAAATGTAGCATGGCCAGGAGGTGTGGAAAATAATGCAAGTAAGGAGTATTTTTCCTGAAACACAAGACGGGACTCTACGAAGGGGAGTTTTAGAATCCAGTTTTGTTTTGTAAAGATCATGTGGTTGGCTGCAGACAGATTGAAAGGGGGCATGATGAGAAGAGATGAATAAGGTTACTAAAGTAATAGCAAGAAATGATGAGGTTGGGATGTTGTTTCTAAAAATATGAATTCTATAAGGAAGCAAAATATTAAATTATATGAAATTGTAAATGTTCACGTATTCACTGTTTCCATCTGTGTAAAATCATGCAGGAGTTTTTCCAACAATATGAGCTAAGCAGGAGCTCCAAGTGACCCTCCTGCAAGAAATAACTGAAGTTTGGAAAAGACATACTATTTAAGACCTTGCTGGTCTCACTGGAGGCAGGGGAGATCTCCAAGAATTCATTTTTAGAAAACAGACAAGCCCACCCTAAGGTGGGGCCAGAGTGACAGAGCAGACAGTAGGAGTGGGAGCACTGCCTGTGGTTAACTGCTGACAGCAGCAGGTGCTGAATGGAGGCAGCCAGTGCGAAGCCTAGACTCTCAAGAGGCTGAAGCCCAAGGTGGTGGTGGGCATGGCTGCCGACAAAAGCAGCAGATCCTCTTTGCTGGAAAGCTTCCCCCATTCTCAGTTTAGGCCCATAAAAATCTTACTCATTAATATCTATTAACGACCTCATACTCCATGAGAACCAAATAAAATCAACACGATGACTGTGAGTGGGTAGACATAACCAACACTGTAGTTATACTTCCAAAGGACTGCAGATAAGGGACTTTCAGCTACACAGTATAAAACTGCTACCTTTGTAGTGCTTAAAGAAATAAGGGATGCAGTCCTAAAGACCTCCAAGAGTCAACAAGAGATTATTGGGAATGAACGGATTGGTTTAAAAAACAAAAGGAACTTCTAGAAATGAAATTTAAAAAATGGTAGATCAATCAGCAAATTAAACAGTTGAAGACAGAATTAGTGAATTAGGAATTACATGTATCTGAAGAAATAATGCAATGCTGAGAGAAAGGGAGATAGAAAATATGAAATATATTAAGAGCAACGGAGCATAGAATGAGAAGCTGTAATGTGTGTCTATGATTCCTGCTGGGAATGCACCTAGGTTCAATTAGACATTCAGACTTCAGAGACTACCGTAGGTCATACCGAGCACCAGTCTGCCCGGAAGAGCACAGCTTGCCTGCAGGGCAGCGTCAGCTTTTGAAGCAGTTGAGTTCAGCTGCAGGAAGGTAAAATCCATACTGAGTGGGTGTGGGAGTCCAGGCTTAAGGTCTTATGCCCTAAAGGAGCCATTCTTTCTGTAACCTCTCTGTAAGGATAGCTTCCAGAGTCCTGCAAGGGACATGCCAATTACAAGAATCGCTGAACTCAAGAAAGCCGGACCATGGTGTCCCCATCAGGTATTTATTGCTTATTTATAGTTCTCCCCAATCCAGATACAGTTTACCAATCAAGGGGTTGTTTGTATCCTAAGCAATGTTACCTGGCAATAAAGTTCGACATTTTACACTTATCAGGCTTCCAGAGGAACTAAGCTAGAGTTAACTGAAAGTCAGAATCTCATGTACGGAGGAAAAGTTTTATTAACTCTTTGTGCATAGTTTCTAATCAGAGTCTTCAGAAAAAGTAGAGAAAAGGAAGGAGAGCCAATAATTAAAGATATATTAGCTTCGGGTTCTACAGACATAGTGAAAAACAGATTTGCAGAATTGCTCCTGGGGAAGCAAAACACATTCCAAGCAGAATAAATAAGAAGAAATTCTCACCTGTTCACATTAAAATTAAACTGCAGAACACCAAAAATAAGAGACCACATGGTGCTCTGGCCAGCGGCTCCCTTTGTGCCGACAGCTAACATCTACTCCAGCCTCACGGGTTAGTCATTTTGAACACGGCAGCCCAGGCAGGCCTCCCTAGATGACTGCATCCCAGATTGGTATCACATGGAACAGATAGGGCTGATCAGGTGAGCCCAGTCAAACCGCAGACTAGTGAGAAATAATCAGTGGTGGTGGTTTCAGGCCACTAAGTTTTGGGGTGGTTTGCTATGCAGTGTTAGATAACTGAAACATTGTTCAGAAAGAAAGCTCAAAGGCATCTGTAGACTAGATAATAGAAATAATAAGAGAGTTTCCTAAAGAGGCTGGCTGGAAGATAAATATACAGGATCAGTTATCTCCCTATATTTCATATATAGTACCATGGTATTGTGAGATAGCTAAGACCAAGGTAGCTAAGCTACATTGGATTCATATTGTGGAACCTGACAAGCGAATTCTAAAATCTATATGGAAGTGCAAAGGCCCAAGACCACTGAAGAAGTAGAAGAATGTATGTAATATCAAGAATTATTGTCATATTCTTTTGTCTCAGGGATAAAAATGGACCCAGGAACAAAATACAGAACCTAACAACAGACCAGTTATCTATGAAACTTGGATGGCAGAAGTGGTGTGGCAATTTGGGCGGGGTGGGGGGTAGGAGGGACAGTAAGCTACTCAGTGCTGCTGCTGGGACAGTTGGGATACCCTAGTGGGAAAATCTAGTCACACCTACCTAATCCATTCTAGGTGAGTGAAAGATTTAAATGTGAAAAGCAAAACCTTAAAACTTTTAGAAGAAAACATAGGTTAATATTTTTCTCAGAATAAGGATTCCTTGGAACATTAAAATGCTAACCAGAAATTTAAAAATTGATAAATTATATTAAAATTTAGAACATCTGTTCATAGATATCACAAGAAAGTGAAAATTCAGCCTATAAACTGAGAGGAAGACATTGGCAACATACTTAACTAAAAAAACAAATGGATAAACAATGGAATGGGCACACAGTAGAATATTATACAGCAGTGAAAATGAGTGAACTTCAGCTATAAGCAATGCCATGGATGAATCTTAGAAATGTAATTTTGAATGGGAAAAAAATCTCAAGATGAGTATCACTTTATAGTGCTTAAAAATTAGCATAACTTGGGGCACCTGGGTGGCTCAGTTGGTTAAGTGTCCAATTCTTGATTTCAGCTCAGGTCATGATCTCAGGGTCGTGAGATTGAACCCAGTGTCAGGCTCCATGCTTAGTAGGAAGTCTGCTTGAGATTCTCTTTGCCACCCTGCTCACATGTGCATGTGTGCTCTCCCTCTCTTTCAAATAAATAAATCTTTAAAAAAAAAATAAGCAAAACTAGACAGAGTGGTTTTGAAACATAATCTAATTGGAATAAAAACTTCAGAAAAAGTGATAAAGACAACTTAGTATAATGGTTACCTCTTTGGGGAGAGCCAGGAGTGGGAATGAGGAAGGAACAGAGGTAAATATAGATTGTTCTAGTTACTGAGTTAGATGATGAGCTTATAATGTTTACTATATTGTTATACTTCATAACTAATATATATAAGCTTTTATGTGCTTTTTATATTTAAGATAATTTAAAATGATGCATAGGATAACTAAGACATTCTTAACAGTTTAGCAAGTCACTAAAGATAAAGGAAGCCCTGAATTTCTGCTCTTCTATACATTTTAGATAATCCTGGCACAGTGTTATCTGGGATGCGTATCCCTTTTTAGTCCAGAAGGTTAAACTCTTCTCAAGTGGTTTTCATGTTTGACTTTTCTTACCTATTTAGATATTTTAGTTTCAGGATTTATCAGTTAAAATTTCCTTTTAGAATCCATATTTTGAAACATACAGGTTTTCTTAAAAGCCGTTGAAATACTGAAAATTTTCTGGTAATTGTGCTTCTTTTGTTTTCCTAGTTCCAGTGCACTTTTCCAGCACATCACGGCATTATTCGAATGCAGTATGGCAGCTATCGTCACCTTACTTGTGAGTGATCCGGTTGGTGTTCTCTATATCCGTTCATGTCGAGTACTGATGCTTTCTGATTGGTACACAATGCTTTACAACCCAAGTCCCGATTATGTTACCACAGTGCATTGTACTCACGAAGCTGTTTACCCGCTGTAAGTATTTATATAGACTGAAGATCATTTAAAAAATGGTAATTATAGATTTTATTTGTTTCAACAGATTGAGTATTGAAAAATGGCTTCCAGGCACTGGGGGAGATACAGAGAAATGATTTTCTTCTCTTGAAGGATACATAGTCTAATAGAAGGGAGTAGAAATACATTTTAGTATAATACAAGTGAAAGTATTTTTGTATTGGTGTTGAAGTGTGTATAAGCATTTCTAAAAGAAGCAATATCTGTTTCTTCAAAAGGGAGTTATAAGGAAAATCTTTATGATATGCAACAGAGAAGCAGTATCTGACATAGAGGAAAGAGTATGGGCTTGAGAGGTAAAAACAGGCATGAGTTTGAATCCTGAGCTCCTGTGTTAATGTGACCATGTTAAGAGCCTCTCATAACCTCCGCTTTCCTGTTACTAAAAATGGGAATAGTGGTACCTTATAAGGTGATTGTGAGGATTAAATAAGTCTGCACATATCAGATACCATGTGCAGTGCCTTACATACAGGAAACACTTAATAAAATAGTAGCTGGCATTGTAATTAGAGTGCTTGGGTTAATGTTTTTTTTGTTTTTGTTTTTTTCCAAAACAAATGTTTATAATTTCCATGAGAATGTTTTGTTTTAAAAATACCAAATTCATAAGACTCTGTATAATACTATCCCAGACTACTTCATTTTTAGAATTTCTCCTTGTGTTCATTTTGATGTGTTTTCCTTGGTAAAGGTGTAATAGAAGAGTCTGGTATTTACATTCTCATAGTTATAGCAAGTTACCATTACATAATATGCTCAAGAAAATAACCCTTTTTATGCAGGTTCTTAAGAGTACTAAGTGTGAAAAACACTTGCACAAATGTAAAAAGGTAATTTAAAAAAAACCAAAATTTCAGATACAGAGATAGGAACTTCTTTCTGTCTACCATTAAGCCCTGTAAATTATTTATTTCTTGTATATATGCCGTCTGTCTCTATATATACATAAAATTTACATACAAGACTGTATATAAAAGACCCATAATGCATTCTTGGTTGGTGTCATAGGGCTAAAGCTCTCAGCTTCGATTATTCTCTTCTCAGATACTATCCAGGGGACTGCAGAACTTAACCTGGTCCTATTTAGAGAGCTTAAAAAGGGAATCAGATATCATATATAACTATCTTATTTAAAACAAAATCATATTCATTTACTGCTGGTGCACATATATAGGTGTTTTTTATACTATCCATAAAGCATATAGTAGGAGAGTCAACAAATACTAAGATTAGAACAGAGACGGCAAATAGGTGCTCTTGGCCCTCATTCTGCGGCCATAACAGCCTCTTCACAAAACTTCATTGATCAGGATATGTTCACCATCTTTGAATTAAGTAGATATTTTTTTTCTCAGCAGCTTTAGCAGTAGTCACTGGGCCATGGCCTGTCTGCCTTGTTTTATTAATCCTACAGAACAGTGGTTTTTGAAAATTATGAAAAAATTTTATGGTATCAACATTGGGTTTATACCTATTATTTATTTTACATAGCTATTTAAGTGTAACTATATGGCCAGACTGGGGCTAAACTTTTCAAAAAGCAACAGGACTACCCGGGGCACCTGGCTGGCTCGGTCGGAGGAGCATGTGACTCTTGATCTCGGGGTTTTGAGTTCAAGCCCCAGGTTGGGCATAGAGATTACTAAAAAAAAAAAAAAAAAAAAACTTAAAGCTGCAGGACTACCAAAAGTTATAGAAATTTTTTTCTTTTGTGAGTCAACAAAAAGTAATGGCACAAAATTATCAGAAGCCTTTGGAACACTATTAACATTGACTAATGCAGGCTATTTTCTCCATTGGTATATATAGCCTAGTTCCTTACAAATTGAAAAATACCAAGACACTTTACTGATAATTGTAGTTTTGAGGGGAACTTGATTAGATGAGACATGGAAAAGCATGCAAATTTCTATTATTAGAAACTTACTATAAAAATATTTACATTACTAAAACCTTATGAGTTAATAGGTTGACTTAATATACTTTTTAAATCTTCTTTAGCATTTTTTATTTTAAATTGATCAGTAATAGGTATTTTGAAACATATTTTCAGTGTTACAATTCCTTGTTTTATTTTACAGATACACCATTGTATTTATCTATTATGCATTCTGCTTGGTATTGATGATGCTGCTCCGACCCCTTCTGGTAAAGAAGATTGCCTGTGGGTTAGGAAAGTCTGATCGATTTAAAAGTATTTATGCTGCACTTTACTTCTTTCCAATTTTAACTGTGCTTCAGGCAGTTGGCGGAGGCCTTTTATGTAAGTTTGATGGGTCAAGCCAATGAAATATATTTTTATGTGTGATAAACAGTATTTTCTCTAAGTATAATTTTGGATCTTTTTCTTTAAAATCGTTTTTTTAATCCTTGAAAATATATATTTTTGCTAAAACATAATCATTCTTATAAAAAAAATTAAAAATGGGCTTCTTGGAATGGAATAGATATTCTCAAACTAATCAAAGCTGATTTCTATATAAAGAATACTTTGAATCTGAAGCTTTTAATCTAAGTAGGAATATTTTAGAAACCTGAGTATAAATTAAAAAACGAACTTGTTTTTGCATATAATAAATAGAAATTACTGTTTTTTTGGGGTTTTTTAAGATTTTATTTATTTGACAGAGACAGCAAGAGCAGGAACACAAGCCGGGGGAGTGGGAGAAGGAGAAGCAGGCCTCCCGCCGAGCAGGGAGCCTGATGCGGGACTCGATCCCAGGACCCTGGGACCACGACCCGAGCCGAAGGCAGACGCTCAACGACTAAGCCACCCAGGCGCCCTAGAAATTACTGTTGATAATATATACTAACATATATTATCATTAAGTTATGTCTTCAGTTTTTGAGTTCCTTTATTAAAGCTTTTTAGGTACAGTAAAAGAATCCTCAGTATATTCTTTATTTTAATATAGCCATTCATTTATTCAGCAACTATTTAGACTGAATTTTGACTCAAAAGATGATTAAGAAAAAGTTGTTAAAGGACTGACATACTAGTAGGAAAGCTATAAGTAGCTGAGAGAATGTAGTATAGTACTTACTTGAATATGTGACATTGAATATTGCAGGGATGTTAGATGCCATCTTTTATGTGAAGCCTACCGGGGTACAGAGGGCAAGGCTTCTGGCCTAAAGGAACTAGGAAAGATTGGCATCATTATGTAGTGTGGTAATGAATTTGGTTCTGGAGGAGGATGGCGCTGGGAAGGTGAGCCAAGGGAAGAGGAAATTGGAGACTAGTCAGAGGTCTGTTATCCCTCATATTCTAGTTTATAGATGTATTGTTGCAGTTGGCCTGCATAATATTTGAAAATGTGTAGTTCCTTCTAACTCCTACCATTCCCTGTTTTCTTGGATTTGGCCCACTTCCATTATTTACCTGCCTGGCTGGCCTCTGTAGGTGTTTGAGGTTGCTATTCTTGCTCTAGGGAATAGAGACCTACTCTTTAAGGATTTTAGGCAGAAGAGTGACATGCCTAGGTTTGCATTTTGGAGAGAGAACTTGATAGCAGTGTGGAAGATGGATTGGTGGGGGAAGAGGACCTGGGGAATCAGTTAAGAGGTTATTGCTGCTAGCCAAGTCTGACTGTCTGGCCGAAAGCAGAGAAACACTGAGAATGGAGAGTATTTTGAAGATAGAGTTAACTAAACTAGGTAACTGATTAAACATAGGGGTGAGGGAATAGGACGAAAATATGATAGAGTAGCTTTCTGACTTAGTAACTGGTGAATAGAGCCACAGAAGCAGATATTAGAAGAAGCAAATAAAAGAGGTTGATGAGAAGTGAATCCAGTTTTAGCTGTTCATGGAATATTCACAAAAGTACAGGTAATTATTTATACTAGTCTGGCGCTTAGGAGAGCTGTCTAGGCTGGAAAGATTAGGAATTGTCAGCCCGCACCCTGTGTCCTAGACTGCAGGTGGTGCTCTTGTGTAGAACCTCTCGAGGGGAAAAAGCTGTGGAAAGTGGGCCAGGGTTTGGGACATTAGCCCAGGGAGACTGCCAGATCCCGTTGCTTCATATACTGGAGCTGCCTGTATTGAAAAATCCTTTTTCCCACACTGAACATCAGATCAGGCTTTGTCAACAAGCCTCTGCTCAAAACACATTCGTTGTGAGGATCAAGGAGTTAGTGTTCATTTGCACTAAATATAAATTTATGCAGCCTGCTGAGATTAGTCACAGAGGATATCATACCAACTTGTAATTTTATATTGGAAAAAAAAACACATAATTTTGGTTTGTAGGGGTGTCTTAGTCACTTCAGACTGCTATAACAGGACCATAGACGAGGTGGCTTGCAAACAACAGAAATTTTTTTCTCACAGTCCTGGAAAATGGGAAGTCCAAGAGCAGGGCACCAGCAGATGTGTCTAGATAAGAGCCCACTGTGTCCTCATGTGGCAGAAGTTGGGGGGGGCTCTCTTATGTAAGGGCACCAATTTCATTCACGAGGGCTCTACCCTCATGTCCTGATCACCTCCCAAAGGCCCCACCTCCAAATACCATCACATTGCGAGTTAGGATTTCAGCAGGAGAATTTTGGGGGACACAAACATTCTGTACATAACAAGGAACTGTAAGTATCTGAGCAAGTAGAGCAGCAAGCGGCTTCGGGTAGCTTAAGCTACCTGGGTCTAGGGAGACAGACACTGGAGTTATTAGGAAGAGGTTGGTGACAAATTTTACCTGCTTGGAATTATTGAAGCCAGTTTTTAAGTGTGATCTGCATTCGAACCACTAGGGGAGCTAAAATGCAGATTCTCAGGCCTTACCCCAAGGCCTAGTTCCTCAAAATCTCAAACTGTTTTACACTCTAGAGTAAGAACCATGCCTGAGCCCAAGACCACCGTGTACTACCCACAAGTTTGGGCCTTGTTAGAAACTTCCTTTCCCCCTTTTTTTTTTTTTTTTAACTTAGATGGCTTTTTACTACTCAGTCTTAAATTTGTATCATTAGCAACATTGTTTATAAATTAAATGGGATTTTTTTTTTTGAATGGTTGGCTGAGGACCTAATAGCTGTCTATGAAGTAAAATGTTCTAAATGTCAAATAAGGCATTCAGTTATTTAGTAAGTTGGAATTGGGCCCGTATAGATAAGTCAGAGTTTCTGGCTTCTGCTTTCTGAATTAATATTTGAAATTGTTCCAGATGGGTTCCACTGCAATGTAGAATGATTAGTGGTTTCATAAATTGAAGTTGTTTTCAAATAATTATATGAAAAATAATTCAAGATTTTATTCTCAATTTGTTCATTTGTTTTAGTGTGCTATAAATTGAAAACATTTTGGGGCACCTGGGTGGCTCAGTGGGTTAAGCGTCTGCTTTCGGCTCAGGTCATGATCCCAGCGTCCTGGGATTGGGCCCTGCATGGGGCTCCCTGCTCAGCGGGGAGTCTGCTGCTCCCTCTCCCTCTGCCTGCCTGTCTGCCTACTTGTGATCTCTCTCTCTCTCTCTGTGTCAAATAAATAAATGAATCTTTAAAAAAAAAATTGAAAACATTTTAAGAGAAAGATAGTATTTTATAAGGAAAACTGAAGTAGAAATATCTAGAATTTTGACATAACACTGAATGATCCATTTGTCCTTTGAGGTTTATTGATACATGAACTTTTCTAAAGAGTAATTAAAGCTGTATAGCTTTTCTAACCAATGTCCTCCATCTGGACCACAAAACAAAATTGAGTAATTACTTTCTCAATCCTCCCAAGTTTGGTGCATACTAGTATTCTAGATGCAGACAGAAGTTAATTCTTTACATTCAATGGATGCCTTAAGGTAGGATCTTCAAAGCTGGGCCAAGGATAGTTTTACATTTTTAAACAATAAAAAAAAAAAGAAGAGTAGTAATTCTTAACATGTGAAAATTATGTGAAATTTGGATTTTATTATCCCTAAAGTTTTATTGGGACATAGCCACACCCATTCATTTATGTATTGTCTGGCTGTATTCCATTACAATGGGGACTTGAGTGATTGAGACAGTGAGTGTATGGCCCGCAAAGCCAAAAATATTTACTATCTGGCCCTTTACAGAAAGCTTGCTGACCCCTGCCTTAGGGCATTAGGACTTAAGTCTCTCATAGGACTGGTTGAGAAAGTTTTCACCTATGAGGAGAATTATACTGTTTGAATTTTTTTGATGGTTTATTCAGGAAATTTAATTTTCATTATTATACCAATGTTTGTTTTTCAGATTATGCCTTCCCATACATTATATTAGTATTATCTTTGGTTACCCTGGCTGTGTACATGTCAGCTTCTGAAATAGAGGTAGGAAATCTTTTTTTCCTTTGTTAAAGGTTTTTCTTTTTAATAGATTTTAATAACTGAATAGGAGAATAGTACATATGATATGATATGGTACAACTGATTGATTTAGTAATGGCTAATTGGTTGGCTAATTGATGGCACTCAGTAGCTTTTAGCTTAAGTTTATGAAAGGTTGTATATTGGACTGTATTTGCTTGGGAAATTATGCAGTAGTAGGCTCAACTATCCAGCATGTTGGAGAAAAAACAATCATTTCACATAATTTACCCACATAGAAAATGTTTATTATTGAAATGTTGAAAGTTATTAATACTATTTTGAAGGAAACGTGAAATGCTTAATTGTATATAGAACTAATTTTACACTTTATTTTACAATGGCAACACTGACAGTCATCAGTAATTATATACATTTTGTACTCTTCTATACTTTGTTCCCAATTTTATTTTCTTGATTATGGATGTTTCTACTTTTGCACTCTAATGTTTTGGTGATTTGGAAATAATGTCATAGTCACATTAGTTTTGATACTGTTCCTATTTTGAGCTCTCCATTTTGTGCCTCTTTTTAGTATTTTAGTGAAAGGCCACTGTTAGAACTCTTTGAGTTATTCCTTTAACTTAAAAGGAATAAAAGTGTTGCTTGCTAATCTAGTGCCTCGGCACAGTCTTCAGGTGCATACTACTGTTGATAAGATACGTGCTGTCTCATAATTCTTTCATAAAAAAGTTCAACCCAGAGAAAGTTAAGTTACATTAGTGAAAGAATGAGAGGGACTGACTTTCAGGTAGAATAATAGTAGAGGAACTAGACAATATTTATATGGTGATTCAGATCTTTTCATTTGTATACTATCTCCATTTCTCCTTTGTAATCTTTAATCAACAATACAGCGTGTTTAAAGAAGATAAGCAAATTCATTTTGTCACTTTTATCCACTCTAAGGAAAGACTTGAGGGAGGAAATGATTGGATATTTCAATAAAATGAAGTTTTTGAATTTTTATTTATTATCTATACTATGGATAGTTAAATTAGCTTGAAACTTATCTCTCTGCTTCAGGAATCTCTCCTTTATAAAATGTTCATGTACTTCAGTTAGCACTCTATAATGAATCAGAAATAGGGACCTGAATCAGGAAAAGAAAATCTAGTTCTAGGTGAGTTGATGAGTCATTTAATAAGAGAAGGTTGGTAACCTACTGAAGATTACATTTTAGTGTGTTTATTAGCACTTTTAGATATTACTTTTATAATAACTTGTTCCCTCCAATTTCTACATATTAGAGAGCTGTTTAAAGATTAAAGGAAATCAGACTGTTCACATGTCATTTCTGCTCCCTCTAATTATCCAGGCAGCAGACTTCCAAGAATACTAGAGATTGAGGAAGTTGGGTGTATATACCTCCTACTTCCTGCCTATAAGACTCAGCTACAGTGGATCAGGGCAGGAAGAAGGCACATCATGTGGAGTTCCCTTCTAGTTCATATCTTTCAGAAGAAACCATAGTGTTTCCAGGGTTGAATGGTGATGTGGACTAGAATTGAGAGACATGGGCTCCTGTTTTGGTGCTGCCCCTGAATGTTTATTATGGCTGTCGGGAGCCTCGGTTTCCTCATCTGTAAAGTGTAGTGGCTAGACTGAGTAATTTCTTGAGTCCTTTTTAGGTCAAACATTGTGTGATTCTGAGGTTATTGTGTGGAAACAGTACATTTATTTTTATTGGAAGTATTAACATACAGTGTTATATTAGTTTGTGTACAATATAATCATTCAACAGTTCGATGTATTACTCAGTGCTCATCACGACATGTGTACTCTTAATCCCCTTTTTTCACCCACTTCCCCCTGGTAACCACCAGTTTGTTCTCTGTGTTTGAGTCTTTTTTCTTTTGTTTTTGTCCTTTTTATCCTTTGTTTCTTAAATCCCACATATGAGTGAAATCACATATGAGTGAAATCATAATGTCTTTCTCTGACTGACTGACTTCACATAGCATTATACCCTCTAGGTCTATCCATGTTGTTGCAAATGGCAAGATCTCATCCTTTTTTATGGCTAAGTAATATCCCATTGTTTATATGTACCACACCTTTATCCATTCATCTATCCATGGACACTTGGGTTGCTTCCATATCTTGGCTATGTAAATAATGCTGTAATAAACGTGGGAGTGCACATATCTTTTCAGATTAGTGTTTTCATTTTCTTTGGGTAAATACCCAGTAGCGGAATTTGGTAATTCTATTTTTAGTTTTTTGAGGAGCCTCCATACTGTTTTCCACAGTGGCTGTGCCAGTTGGCATTCCCAGTGCACGAGGGTCCTTTTTCTCCACATCTTCACCAACGTGTGTTTCTTGTGTTCTTAATTTTAGCTACTCTGACAAGTGTAAGGTGATATCTCATTGTAGCTTTGATTTGCATTTCCCTGATTAGTGATGTTGGCCATCTGTATGTCTTTTTTGGGAAAACTGTCCAAGTCCTCTGCCCATTTTTTTAATCAGATTGTTTCTTGGGTGTTCAGTTGTAGAAGTTATAGGAGATATATGTATCCACATCCATATTAATATATATGCCCATATATATTAATATATATATATATCCATACCCATATTAATCCCTTATCAGATATATCACTTGCAAATATCTTCTCCCCTTCATTAGGTTGCCTTTTTGTTTTGTTGATGGTTTCCTTTACTGTGTAATAGCTTTTTATTTTGGTGTAGTCCCAATACTTTGCTTTTGCTTCTGTTTCCCTTGCCTGAGGAGACCTATGTAGCCAATGTCAAATCACTGCCTATTTCGTTCTAGGAACTTTACAGTTGCACGTCTCACATTTAGGCCTTTAATCCATTTTGAGTTTATTTTTGTGTATGGGGTAAGAAAGTGGTCCAGTTTCATTCCTTTGCATGTAGGTGTGCAGTTTTCACAGCACTATTTATTGAAGAGACTGTCTTTTCCCCATTGTATATACTCTTGCCTCCTTTGTCCTAGATTAATTTACCATATATGCATGGGTTTATCTCAGGGTTTTCTATTCTGTTCCACTGATCTATGTGTCTCTTTCTTTGCCAGTAGCTTACTGCTTTGATTACTACGGCTTTGTAGTGTATCTTGAAATCTGGGATTGTCATAACTCCAGCTGTTTTTCTTTCTCAAGATTGCTTTGGCTATTTAGGATTTTTTGTGGTTTCAAACAAATTTTACGATTATTCTAGTTCTGTAAAAAAATGTTGCTATTTTGATGGGAATTGCATTATGTAGATTTCTTTGGGTGGTATAAACATTTTAACACTTGGGTCTTCCAATTCGTGAGCATGGAATTTCCATTTGTTTGTGTCACCTTCAGTTTCTTTCATCAGTGTTTTATAATTTTCAGAGTACAGGTTTTTTGCTTCCTTGGTTAAGTTTATTCCTAGATGTTTTATTATTTTTGTACAATGTAAATAGGATTGTTTAATTTCTCATTCCGCTACTTCGTTATTAGTGTATAGAAATTCAACAGATTTCTGCTCATTAATTTTGTATCTGCAACTTCATTGAATTCATTTATCAGTTCTAGTAGTTTTTTGGTGGCGTCTTTAGGGTTTTCTGTATATAGTATCATGTCGTCTGCAAATACTGGAAGTTTTACTTCTTCCTTACCAATTTGAATGTCTTTTATTTCTTTTTTTGTTTCTGTGGCTAGAACTTCTAGTACTGTTGAATTAAAGTGGTAAGAGTGGATCTCCTTGTCCTGTTCCTGATCTTGGAGGAAAAGCCCTTGGTTTTTCACCATTTAGTAAGATGTTAGCTGTGGGATTTTCATATACGGCCTTTACTATGTTGAGGTACCTTCCCTCTAGACGAACTTGGTTGAGAGGTTTTTATCACAAACGGATGTTGTGCCTTGTCAGATGCCTTTTCTGCATCTGTTTAGATGATGCTATGGTTTTTATCCTCTCATTAATGTGATGTATCATGTTGATTGATTCGCAAATATTGAACCACCCTTGCCACCTGGAATAAAACCCACTTGATTGTGGAGAATAATTTCTTTATTGTTCCATTTGGTTTACCAATATTTTGTTGAGGATTTTTGCATCTATGTTCATAAGAGATATTGGCCTGTAGTTTCCCCTTTTTGTGGTGTCTTTATCTGGTTTTGTTATCAGGGTAATGCTGGCCTCATAGACTATATTTGGAAGCTTTCCTTCTCTTATTTTTTGAAGTAGTTTGAGAAGAATGGGTTTTAATTCTTCTTTAAATGTTTGGTAGAATTCACCTGTGATGCCATCTGGTCTTGGACTTTATTTTGTTGGGAGTGTTTTGATTACGGATTCCATTCCATTGATAGTAATTGATCTGTTCAAGTTTTTTATTTCTTCCTGGTTCACTTTTGAGAGGTTATATGCTTCTAGGAATGTATCCATTTCTTTAAAGTTGTCCAATTTATTGGCATGTAATTTTTCATAATATTCTCTTAACATCCTTTGTATTTCTGTGGTGTCGGTTATTTCTCCTCCTTTTCTAGTTTTGAGACCTTTTTTTCTTGCTGAGTCTGGCTAAAGGTTTATCAATTTTGTTGATCTTCAAAGAGCCAGCTCCTGGTTTAACTGATCTGTTCAATTTTTTTTTTTTTTAAATCTCTATTTCATTTATGTCTGCTCTAATCTTTATTATTTTCTTCCTTCTACTGGCTTTGGGCTTTGTTCTTTTTCTAGCTCCTTTAGGGGTAAGGTTACATTGTTTGAGATGTTGCTTATTTCTTGAGGTAGGCCTCTATTGCTATAATCTTCCCTCTTAGAACAGTGTTTGCTACATCCCAAAGATTTTGAACCATCGTAATTTTCATTTGTCTCATGTATTTTTGATTTCCTCTTTAGTGTCTTGGTTGACCTATTAATCATTTAGTAACATGTTGTTTAGCCTCCATGTATTTGTGTTCTTTCTAGACTTTTTATTGTCATTTCTAGTTTCATACCTTTGTGGTTGGAAAGATGCATGATATGATTTTGACCTTTTTAAGTTTATTGAGACTTGTTTTGGGGCCTAACATGTGATCCATTATGGAAAAGATCCCATGCACGCTTTGAAAAGAATGTGTAATTCACTGTTTTTGGATGGAATGTTTGAATATATCTTTTAGGTCCATCTGGTCTGATGTGTCATTCAGAGCCATTGTTTCCTTGTTGATTTGTCTGGATAATGTATCCATTGATGTAAGTGGAGTATTGAAGTGCCCAACAATTACTGTATTACTGTCAGTTTCTTCCTGTCTGTTAATAGTTGCTTTATGTATTAGGTGCTCCTTTTTTGGGTGCATATTTATAATTGTTCTATCCTCTTGTTGGATTGTTCCCTTTATAATTATGTAGTATCCAGTATCCTTTTTGTCTCTTGGTATGGTCCTTGTTTTAAAGTCTTTTTTGTCCAATATAAATATTGCTAACCCAGCTTTCTTCTAACTTCTATTTGCATGATGTGTTTTTCGTTCCCTTCACTTTCAATCTTGCATGTGTTTAGGTCTGAAGTCTGTTAAAGGCAGCACTTAGATGGGTTGTTTTTTTATCCATTCAGCACCCTATGTCTTTTGATTGTAGCATTTAGTCCATTTATACTCAGATTATTGATAGGTATATACTAATTGCCATTGTTACTTGTTTTACTGTTATTTTTGTAGTTCTCTGCTCCTCTTCTTTCTCTTTCTCCTGTGGTTTGATGCCTTTAGTGTTATGCTTGGATTCCTTTCTATTTGTATATGTATTATATAGGTTTTTGATTTGTGGTTACCATTACATTCATATATAACTTCTCATGTGTATAGTAGTCTTACTAAGTTGTGGGTCACTTTAGTTTGAACCCATTCTAAAAGCGCTAAATTTTTACCCCCCACCCCCGCCATGTTTTATGTATATGATGTCCTACTCTACTTCCTTTTGTGAGTCCCTTGACTGATTTTTATAGATATATTTGATTTTACTGTTTTTGCATTTTACTCTCCATACTGGTTTTATATGTGGTTAATCTTTAATTACATGTTTGCATTTACCTGTGACATTTTTTCCTTTCATAGTTTTCTTACTCATTATGGGTTTTTTTCCACTCAAAAGAATTCCCTTTAACATTTCTTGTAAGACTGGTTTAGTGGTTGGGGAAACTCTCTCTCCTTCAATTCTGCGTAACAGCCTTGCTGGATAGAGTATTCTTGGTAACAGGTTTTTTTTCTTTAGGCATTTTGAATATATTGTGCCACTCCCTTCAGGTCTGCAGAGTTTTTGCTGAAAAATCACCTGATAGGCTTACGGGGTTTCCTTTATGTGTAATTGCTTTCTCTTCTCTTGCTGCTTGTAAAATCTCTATCACTACTTTTGCCATTTTAATTATTATGTGTCTTGGGTTTTGTTAGGTGCTGTCTGTGCTGCCTGCATCTGGATGTCTGTTTTCTTCCCCAGATTAGGGAAGTTTCAGCTTTTATTGCTTCAAATAAATTTTCTGTCCCTTTTCTCTCTTCTTCTGGGATCCCTATTATGTGAATATTATTATGCTTGATGGTGTCACTGAGTTCCCTTAACCTAGTCTCATTTTTTATTACATTTTTTTCTGTTTGCTGTTCAGCTTGGCTGCTTTCCATTACACCAGTCTTCCAGATCACTGATCTGTTCTTCTCCTTCCTCTATTGATTCCCTCTAGTGTAATTTCCATTTCAGTTATTAGTTCTTCATCTCCAAGTGGTTCTGTTTTATATTTTTTATCTCTTTATTGAAGGTCTCACTGAGATACTCCGTTCAATTATGATCATTATTTGAGTTATCAGACATGTTGCTTAGCACTCTTTCATTTGGGACTTATTCCTCAGTCTCCTCCTTTTGTCTTTTTCTTTGAATTAGAAAAGTCAGCTACAGCTCCTGATTTTGAAAGTAGTGGCCTTATGAAGAAGAGGTCCTGTGGTGCAGTGCCCCCTGTTCACCAGAACCAGGTGCTTCAGGGGTGTCTCCTCTGTGGGGTACATGGGCCCTGCTGTTGGGGCTGAGCTGTGTTTGCCTTCAGTCCAGTCAGTTGCAATGGCCTCCTTCACCTGCTCAGGGCACACCAGGCAGGGTTTGGTCGCTGTGCTGTTCAGCTGTCAGTCTGGGGCCACCGAGGGCCTGTAGCTGGGCAGGATTGGCAGTCAGACCTGATGCCTGCCCCCCTTCCGTCTGTTGGGGCTGCAGTTACATCACTCTCCAGGGCACTGCTCTCCCTTCCCTGTCCCTTGAGAGGTTTTTGCTGGTTGGTGGGGCTGACAGTCACACCAGATGCTTGTCCCCAGTCTGTTGCAGCGACCATGGCAATTTCCTCTGCATTTTCGGTTATAAGGTTTGGCTCTTGGGATTTTGGGCACACTGGCGTATGTGATTGTCTTCCCCTCTCCCCAGGGCAGGAGCCACTTTGGAGTGGTGCCATCTCTCCCGAGGTTGCTTGCAGAGTGTGTGGGGGCAGGAGCTACTTTGGAAGGTACCTGCTGAGTGAATCTGCAAGAGAACACGGGTTGGGTGTGGTGCTAGCAAAGCTAGGTGGAGAGTGTGCTGCTGGTTCCTGCAAGTGTCTGGGTCAAGGTTGGGATATGTGCTAGTTCTTTTGTTCTTGGAGAAGTTTCCTAAAGATCCCTACCGTGCACATTCTGAGATTAGTAAATCTCCTTCACATATACCCCTGGTGCTCTTCAAACTGCTGCTTCTGTGCTGTGTCTCGGCTGGCTCTTTTTTGTTTTCTTCAAATTTTTATTTAAATTCTAGTTAGTTAACCTATAGTGTAATATTGGTTTCAGGAGTAGAATTTAGTGATTCATCACTTACCTGTTATGCTGGCTCTTTAATGGCTGGGAGTACTCAGTTTCTCTGTTATCTTCTGGCTCTCCTGGAGCTAAGTGCCCCTGATTGTAAAAAACTCTTAAGGCCCGCTGGGGAACTCATGCTCCCAGTGCTGGACCCCTGTGCCTAGGGTTGCTGGTGTGGGGTCTGATCATGTGGTTTCTTCTGGTTAGTCTCTCTCAGGGCTGAGTTCTTAACCATGTCCCCACCCTTCTTACCCTTTTCGATGTGGCCTCCTCTCTATAATTAACTGTGGAAGGTCTGCTGCTGCCAGTCTTTGGGTCATTTTCAGAGTTAGTTGCACTGATGTGTGTTATCTCAGTGAATCCATGGGATGAGGAGAGCTCAGGATCTTCCTGTTCTGCATCTTCCCAACAAATAATGCATTTTAAATTATGATGTAATAAATTATCTAGCTTATTCAGCCCAATAATTTGTTTTCTTTTATAAAATTATATAGAACTGCTATGATCTTCTGGTGAGAAAGAAAAGACTTATTGTTCTCTTCAGCCACTGGTTACTTCATGCCTATGGAATAATATCCATTTCCAGAGTGGATAAACTCGAGCAGGATTTACCCCTTTTGGCTTTGGTACCCACACCAGCTCTTTTTTACTTGTTCACGGCAAAATTTACCGAGCCTTCACGGATACTCTCCGAAGGAGCCAATGGACACTGAATGTGTAAAATGCATTAATACTCTTCTGTTGTACATGGAGGTAAGATTGGGTTTTGTTTTTCTGTTTTTGACTTAACAGACTTTATGGTTAGACTTGGAAAATACAAACTGCTGTAGTAGTGTGTTACGTAGTATAATACACTGTATACTTTAGCACTCTGTGACACTATAAGCATGTTAGGAAGCACTCGCCTCCAGCAACAATTTAGTTATTCTTTAAAGCAAAATCGTGTTTCTCTATACTTTGACAAGTATAATCTGAAATCCTTAGCATTGGCCTAATTGTGCATGTCTGTTGTATTTCAGTTTGTTTTTCAAGTATAATGAATTATAAGGACAAACATACCTTGTGGGTCTGATAGCAAACATGGAAATGAAGTATGTTGTTATTTATTTTTACCAATACAGTATTTTGATAAAGAGTATAATTTATATAACGGGTTTTCTGTTTATAAGTAGTTTGGTTGAAGACATCTGATTGTTTCTGTTAAGAAAAACAATAAAATGCTTAACTACAAAAAATCTCAGATGTTGACATTTAATTGTATTTTGTCATACTAATTGTTGAAATACTTCAGACTATTAAGTAGTAAGAGGAGTAGTTCTTTCCCAAATGAATAAATTCCTCTTTGGTCTCATTTTTGAAGGATATATACACAGTGCCATATTTTATTGATCCTGAAACTTTTTTCACATTGTGACATCTCTGAATTAGGATGCATCTTACAACTGATGCCTTCTTAAACTAAATACAGAATATATACAATATATAGTTTTCCTGTGGTTAGTTATTGATAGGTGTGCACTGCGATTTTTATGCCCGGAAGCCTTTGAGAGATTCATATGGGAGCAAAATAAAGTTTTAGGCACTTAACCTAATAGTCTGACCATTTTATCCATCTGTATTGTTTAGAAGGTTATTTACCGATTCTGTTTAGTGGGGATTATGCAGGTTTGTTAATCAACTTAAGACATCCATGGACCATTGCAAAATATGAAAGTGCACTCACTTGTTTTGTAGTTTTGTTTTTGCCTTTTAAATTCACAGCAGGTGTAGCCTTGAAGTTATTTTGTTAGTTTTTCTTTGTTAATGTTTTTCATAGTACATTCAAACCCCGGGGGATGGACTTTTTTGATAGGAATGTGTTTCTTCTTTTCTGTAGGAGTAAAAATGTGAAAATTCTGTGTATGTCACACAAGTTTGGGTTGTTATTAGTTACATTAAAATTCTAAATTTCCCAAAGAATCCTCAATTGGACAGTTGTATAATCTGGGACTTGGTATGGGGAAGGGAAGCGTAGGGAGCCATGTATCTGATTACCGGGACCATATCTGTCCCTCTACATTTGGAGCCATTTTAACAGTTATCTTCTCTGATCTCCTATTCTAGCAGAAAAATGCATATGCAAGAGGAAAAATCATGCAAGTAATTATAATTCTTCAAATGCAAACAGTTTCAGGAATACCTAAATATGTATCTGCATTTGCTTTAAGAACAAGACCAGAACAATTCATAGCAACTATGGTTGCCAGTGTTACTGAATGATCTGTTAAATCGTGATCATTAAAAATACAAACAAATCGCCCTACTCAGCTTTGTTCAGTTTTTATTTAGATCCTTATAGGGCATTACAACTCTCACTGCTATAGTGCATGGTAATTATTTGCTAACCAGTGCTGGATAGGTAACTTAAAGGTCAAATATTTTGATTAATTTGGGTCAATTGATAAATTTAACAATTACATGGTTATATATTTGTCTAAAACTGTTGGTTTGCAAGATTTGGCTGCCCATTGGAGCCCACTGGAGAGAGGCCTAAAATATGCCTGGGTCCTGCCCTGAGAGATCCAGAATTGGTCTAGGGTACAGGCTGAGCAGAAGGATTTTTTAAACCTCTTCTAGGTGATTCTAATACTTGAGTATGGCCTAAACTCTTCCTAGTTCAGATCTTAATTTTTCCAGGAGACCTTTTGAAAATTTTTCAGCAAATGATTTTTAAAATTATTTCTTACTGAAATTTTGATTCTGCTTTAATGTTTCTTTTCCAGAATTAAATGATCAAACTATATCAAGTCCTTTTTATCACCATAACAAAAAGATAAGTGACAGTGTATACAAATTTGGTATTTCTTTTAAAATATCCCTTGGCCTAAAAAAAAGTCTTCTGTAGCGCACATATCAAGTGAAAATATTTGGTTAACACACAAATTTATCTAACTGTAACTTAAGTTATATAAGACTTGGGGACTTTTAGAATTTTAAAATTTATTTTTAATACTTCTTAAAAAATAATCTATACTATTTGATTTAGGAATACACCCTAAGAATTAACTTGTTTACCTTTTATTTGCTTGCAAGAAGGAATGTTAACGCAAAAAGTAACGATCTTTGTTTTCAAGATGAAGTCTGGCATTTTAAGTTGTGACAAGCCTGTCCTCCACACGTGCCATTCGGAACCCCCAGCAGATACCCACTCAGCCATGCAATCGCAGTCCTCCGCCAGGGCACGTCTACTGCCCTTTCAGGAAGACATCCCTGTGTATTCCCAACACCTAAAAAAAGACTTAGAGGTGCCTCTTTTTACGCTCTCATAGCCACTCACTAGAAGGAGTCCCTTGTATTTGAATCCGCTATTTCTTTGTTTGTTCTCACAGTGTATGCACTTCGAGGTTCAGGGACAAGGTCTTATTCAACTTAGTAACTGCAGCATTTGCTCTAGTGTCAGGCTCAAAGGTGCTCCACGTGTTTCTGGAGCTGGTGCAGTGTTCCTGAAGGAGAGGGCCAGGACCTGCATGGCTGCAGTGACAGATGATGTCCAGAAGAGGACAGGCAAGGGCTGTTGAGCTGGAAGAGATCAAAGGCTTCTCTAGAAGTCCCATCCCTGAGAGCAGCCATTCAATAGGCAAAACCCAAAAGCTAGATTACAGGTGGCTCAGAGATGGTCAAGTAATCCAAGGAGCCATGGTTGACTATCACCTCCCACAGGAGGGCGCTAGATTTCAAGCAATCTGAGGAGTGCCTAATTTGGGTCTGATGCTTTGTAACTTGCTGTTAACTATCCATATTTTACAACCAGGGAAACTGGGGAGTAGAGGTTAAATAACACGTAAGACACAGAACCAAGATCTGAGCCCAGGTCCACTTACCTTCAAAGCCCACATAGTGCCAATGTTCCAGAAGCAGAAATAAGTGGAGTTAGAGAAGCCAGAAACCTTCCTTGTGATCTCAGCTCCATTTCTGGTCCTTCAGAGACCTCTTCCCCATTCCTTAACTAGGGTCAAGTCTCTTTCCTGGTTAGTTTCTCTCATAGTTCTTTTGGTCCACCTGTAAAATCCCTTGTTACAGGGATTTTTACATACATTTGTATGATAATTGATTTTCCCACTATACCAGGAGCAGGAAAACTACAGCCTGAGGAGTTCTCTGACCCACAAACTCTGCAAATGGCCCAGAATTCATAACATCATCAATGACCACTATCTTCCCTACTTTTTGAGCCTTCTAACCTTGGAGCCACCAGAGAAAGCCAAATAGGCTTACTAATCACATAGGATGTCCTGCTCCTAGTTAGCTATCCCCAGGCTCCCCATGCCAACAACCTCCAATCAGAGCATAGCTGACACCTTCCCTTTTCTTTCACAGTAAACCTTTCCCATCCCCTGCCTGCCTTTGGATCTCTGCCCAAAGCAAGTGATGGTGACTCGCACTCCCTTGCTGTACCAGGCTTTATGCCTCAGCTTGTTTGCATGTAGTTGGTCTTTATTTCCACACTACAGTTCTCTACTTTCCATATAGTTATCAATAAGACCATCCTCAAAATATGTAAAAAAAAAAAAAAAAAAAAGGGGGGGGGGATATGGTAAGTTACTCAGTGGGCTTAGCTTTTCAATATCGTCTATTTAAATCTGTTCCAACATAAAAGATTCCATCAGGTTTCAGACAAAAAGGGAGGACTCGCTCATGTGAAAAAAAGTGCAATTGACACTTTGAAGTGATTTAGCTCTTAAAATTCTGCTTGATCTACAGTTGCTGGGGATGGCCTGACTTACCAAAGACAATTTTGCCAAGTGACCAGGGCCCACCAGGGACCTGCTATGCACTTACACATGATAACTATCACCAGGCTTGAGTGGCACCACAAAAACAGCTTTTTGGCTTATAAGAAAGTTTATCCACAAGCGTCTTCATTGGTCACGGAAACATTATTTCTTTTGTCAAGCAATACCCTCAGAACATTGGTTTCACCAAATACTTCAATCCTATCACTTTCTATCTCATTTCACTTTCTACAACTCACCTTTAAAATTGTTTTTCTAATGGTGACATTCATTAAAATGAAAACTCAATAACCTTACTAGGTGATATTTTCATTTCACCACTCTCTCCTACACTCCATTCTCCTCCCTTTCCCCAGTCCTTTCTGCTGCCACCAGCCCGCCTTCCCCAGGGATTCCACCCCTGGCTTCTCTGGGTTGTACCTGTGCAAGAATTGACCTCCTCTTCCCACCACAGCCAGAATCTGGACAGAGTTCTGTGACCCCCATGTCTCACATGACATATCTTCTGTTTACGAAGATAAGGAAGTGTATAAAAGGATTTAAAAAGACTTCTTTGGAAAATGTTTAAAATAAGCTTCAAAAAATCAGAAAAATTAAGATTCGGTTATTTAGAAAACTCATGTAGGTGGAAGGGAGATTTGTCCAACACTGTTGCATTACCACGTTTGACCCCACAAATGAGAAGCAATATTTAGGTGAATGTGACATAAATTGGGGATGGATTATTAGGGATAATTATGTTATTTGGTTAGTTTTTAAATGCCTGTTTGATATTACTGGTTACAGTAAAATAACAAGAAGTTCTTTGTAACTCAAAACTTTTGAGATGTTACTTACTATGGAGGTCTATTTCTGATTCCTGTTCCATAAGAAAATGCAGCTCTTCAAGATTCCCTTGTAGCCAAATGCTGATACGCTCAATGTTTTCATCTCTTTCCTTTAGCTTCTCTGTCAGGTTTTTTATTTCTTGCAAAATCTCATCACCACTGTTTACCAGTTCCTTTAAAAAATAATATTTTGGGGTGTGTGAATATAAATTCCAGATAAATAAAAACATTCTGAGTGAATCATATCCAAGACAGAAATATTTATGCAAAATTGATATTATTCATGCAAAATAAATGTCCACAGCACATTTCACAAAGTTCTGTAGAAGATCTCAGAAAAATGGATTAGCAAATGAGAATTTAATGGAATGCTCACTGAACTCTAACTTTGAATTGGGTAGGATGGTGGCGGTGGCGTTGAGGGCATAAGAAGCCAGCTCACCTTCAGAGCCGCATGGAACTGCACAGCATATTCAGCATGGCTTACAGCTGAAGAGAAAAAACTTTGGAACCAAGCTGGATCTGAGGTTTAAATCCCCATAAGTTCATTAACTGTTTGGTCTTGGGCAAAGTTACTTAAACTCTGAACCTCAGTAGCTTCATCTGAAAAAGGTTAAAGGCTGAGAGCCAGGATCATATGTAAACTTTAAATACTCCAAGTGGCAAAGCCAGGATTTAAACTCCAGCCTGTCAGACTTTATAGTACGGAGCGGTGGAGAAGGAGCAGGGCTGGTAAAACATGGAGGACAGATGGACTTCAGATCTGACAACTTTGTCCTAAAATAGTATGTGTTCAGTTTGTGTTTGCAGGTGGGGGTGAGATGTCATTCTCTTTAAGCAAATTGGTAGAGTAGGAAGACAGTCTCCCAAAGGGTTAAGATTTCATAGTGACATTTGACACCGCTAAAAATAAGACAGCAGTTGCAAATGGAGTCACTGAGGCTAAGCCTCACATCACCAAACAGAATTGATTTAATTAGTTTTGGCGCTCTTAGAAATGGAATTTTACACCAGTCAGTCAGGAATCACCTAATCAGCACTAGTTAGGTCATCTGCCTAATAATCCCTGCCATCCCCTAAAGGAACGTAATCTTGCAATAACCAACCTGCTTTTTGTACTTAGTATAACTTCTGGGTTCCTGCTCCCTTCTGCCTATAAAAGTCCTCTGTTTTGTATAGCTCTTCAGAACATCTTTTAATCTGCTAGCTTGGATGCTGCCTGATTCATGAATCATTGAATAAAGCCAATAAGATATTTAAAATTTACTCAGTTGAACTTTGGTTTTTTAATAATACAAAGCACACGTGTTAAGATATGATGGTTGTACTAACACTGTCACTCCCCCTCAATCCTGACCTCCTACCTTAATGCAGGCACACGTGTACACACACACACGCTTATTAGGTAGGTGAATATTTTTAGGAATATTATATTTATGGAGGCAAAATAAAAAAAGCTCACCTTAACTGTAGTCTGAAATTCAGCCCACAAATCCAAATACTGTGCTAAAATAAAGATTTTTAAAATGCAAAGGTTACAGAAATAATGTGAAAATTTTTACGAAAGTAATGCTATTTGTTTTTCAAAAGTTGTGTTTATCTAAAACTTTCTACTTCAAAATGACAGAATAACTGGATCAGACTTGCCCTTCCACTGTAAACAAGGAGGAAATATATTAAATATTTTTTTATTATTTTTTTTTTTTAGTAGGCTTCATGCCCAATATGGGGCTTGAACTCACATCCCTGAGATCAAGAGTCACATGCTCTTCCGACTGAGCCAAGCAGGCACCCCAAATACATCTGTTTTAATATCCAGTTTGCAGGTACTGGAGAACAGGCAGCACAGAATGGGATACCTGAAGGAAGGGTGACAAATGAGGCAAACCTTATGATCACTCGGCTTTCTGCAGGGGGCAATTTCCAGACCCAAGTGCAAGCAGAACAAGGCAGGTTTGCAGACAGACACAAAAATCTGTACAAAGATTAGCAAATTGAATCCAGCAATATATAAAAACAATAATAGCTTTTGAACAAGCAGGTTTTATCTCAGCAGATTGGTTTAACATTCAAAAATGAATTGGTGCAATTTACCATCCTAACAGCATAAAAGAGAAACCCCACAGGCACTGCACGTCTTCATGACCAACAGCCTCCAATAAGTACCTCGGATGCCCAAGCCCGGGTGCCCCTGCTTGGCACCACTCTGCAGGTGTGGTCACGCATCATTCCTAGGGAAATTAAGTGCATCTGTGCAACTACACTGGGTTTGCATCTGGTTTCCTCCACACTTGCCCCATGAACCTTTTCCCTTTGCTGATTTTACTCCGTATCCTTCAGTGTAATGGACACTAAGCATAACAACTTGAGCCTGGTAAATCCTAGCTGATCAGTGAGCCTAAGGATGGTCTTGAGGACCCCTAATACAGCACCTAAAAGCTGCAAAATCTTGCTAAGAAAAATAAGTTCTAAATAAATGGAGAAGTATACTGTGTTCTTGGATTGGAAGACTTAATTTTGTTAAGATGTCAATTCTCCTCAAATTGATTTACAGATTCAACACAAACCCAATTAAGATCCCAGCAGGTATGCAATTATAGATTAATAAGCTGACTTTAAAACTTATATGAAAATCAAGGGACCTATAATAGCCAAAATCATTCTAAGGGAGAAGCACAATCGTGGAGAACTTACGCTACCTGATTTCCAGGCTGAACGTGAAACTACAGTAATCAGGACAGTGTGGTATTTGTATAAAGTCAGAATAAGGAACAGACTTATAAAATTGATTTTTGAAAAAGTTCGGGTAGTACAATGCTAAAAAGATAGGCTTTTCAAAAATGATGCTAGAACAACTGGATATACATAAGAGAAAACATGAAATTCAACTTAACACCGTACAAAAACGTGAGCTTGAAATGAATTGGAGAACTAGACACAAAAGCTAAAACTAAAAACTTATAAAGAAAACAGAAAATCTTTGAGAACTTCGCTTAGGCAAAAACGTCTTAGGACACAAAAAGTACTACCCTTAAAAGATGAAATCAATAAAGTGACTTTTCCACAGCAAAAACTTTTGCTCTTTTCAAGACAATATTAAGAAAATGAGAAGTCAAGCCTCATACTGAAAAAGGACTCATTTCCAGAATACGCGAAGATTTTAACTCAACAACACAAACAACACAAAGTAATGAGCCAAAGATTCGGACAGAAATGTGGCAGACTGTATTTTCCAGAGATGGCCCCACGATATACTCCATCCCACATGCTCTTCCCACAACGTGATGCCGACAGCCCTCCCATTAGCGGTGGCATCCATGTCGCCTCCCCTTGGACCTGGGATGTTAGCTTTTGGCACACAGCAGGCCAAGCAACTACATGGAGACTCTGGCTGTGAGCCAACAGCAACACCAGTCACACTGAGTGAGTGGATGTGTCTTCAGATGACTCCAGTCCTCAGCTGCTGAGTTACCCCCAGCCACCAAGTTGCCCCAGCTGATATCATGTGGAGCAGACATGAGTGGTATCCACCAGGCTCCGACCAAATGACCAGTTTAGGAGCAAAGGAAATGATCTGTAATATTTGTTATGCTGCAATAGATAATTGGTTCAAGACACTTCACAAAGGATGAGATACAAGCAGCCAAAAAGCACATGAAAAAATACTCAGCAGCATCAGTTATCAGAGAAATGCAAATAAAAATCACAATGAAATACCATTATAAAATGGGTTAAATGTTAACAATTTTAAGTATTTTGACAATTTTAAATGTTGGTGAGGATGTGGAGTATCCCATTGCTAGTAGGATGAGGAATTTGCACGCCTACTCTGGCAAACTGTTTTGGCTGTTTCTTATAAAGTTAAACATACACTAACCATACACCCCAGCAATTCCACTCCTCAGTATTTACCCAAGAGAAATGAAAACAAATATTCACAAAAATACATGTAAGCATATAGTAACCAAAAACTGGAAACAATCCAAATGTCCTTCAAATGGTGAATGGATAAACAAAATACAGTATAGCTACATAATGGGATACTACTATACAGCTATAAAAAGCAGCAAAGCAATGGCACATACAACAACATGAATGGATCTAAAAAAAAGTTTCCTGAGTGCAAGAATCCGGGTACAAAAGTGTGAGTATTCCATCATTCCATTTGTATCTAATCCTTAGTGACAGAAAGCAGATCAGGGGCACCTGGGTAGCTCAGCTGGTTAAGCTTCGACTCTTGGTTTTGGCTCAGGTCATGATGTCAGGGTGTGAGATTGAGCCCCTACATCAGGCTCCATTCTCAGCATGGAGTCTGCTTGAGATTCTTTCCCCCTTCCTCTCCTTCCCTCTCTGCTCCTCCCCCTGCTCTTGTGCTCTCTCTCACTCTCAATCTCTCTAAAATAAAAAAATAAAATCTTAGAAAGAAAGCAGATCAATGGTTTCCAGGCACTGGAGGTAGAGTGGGAAACCAACTACCAAGGGACATAAGAGAATTTTTCAGGGATAAAATGTTCTCTATCTTGCTTGAAGTGACAGTGGTTACAGTGGTATGTACATTTATCAAAACTCGTTGAACTTTAGATGGGTTCATTTTATTGTATGCAAGTCAGTAAAATGTATTTAAATAAACAAAAAAATTATTTTTTATATGTTCAGATCACCCCTAACACATTACTTACTCTGATGAGCCGTCAGTTGACAAGACAGGTCACTTGACATGGACTTGAGGTCTTTTCCTCCTTTTCTGTATTGCTCTATCTTGTTCTTCATGTATGCAATATACTGGAAATGAAAGACATGTGATTGCTTTAAGCAGTTTAGTTACTGTAAATTAATTATCCATGCAGTCATTTGGCACACATCTATTGATTCTTCTCCATGCCACTGACTGTTCTCAGAACAAGGGTTATAGTGGTGACCAGAGCCCTTGTCAAGCCTACATTCTGGTGAGGGAGAAAGGATCCAGCTTCCCAGTAAACATTTAAGCATCCAAATAAACATGGCATTCTGAATATAATTTGCCACAAAAAGAAATTAAAAGGTATTCTGCCTAAATGCATTGTGCCCACAAACAAAAAAAGTGTTCTGTATGCAAAATGTGTGTGCAGGAAATGTACCAAGGCAGCCGTGCTTCCAGACTGGAGGAGATCGTGTAAGACTTCAGAGAGAGGATTTCTCAAGTCTGGAGACCCCCCAGAATTGCTCACTCCATTCAGATGTGTCACTGGGCTGGGTGATGGTGGTAGTAATGGTTTGGTAAGTATTAAAGTCGTCGCTTTCTTTTCTGACCACCCAATGCTCAGGCAATGCTAAACTCTAAAGTCTCTGGGAACTCTGAAAGCATGGGCTTTGGATATAAACATGGCACTGGCTCAGTTTCAAGAGGGAAATAGTCAAATACTACAAATCACTGATACAAAAAAAATCTTAGAAATCACATCTAGTACCACAGGAGACACAGAACTGTTTATAAGCAGGTTATAGGGTCTACTCATGGGGCCTTGATCTTGTGTCAGCCTGCATGGCTTCTTGACTGGTTTTGTAGTAAACCAGAGTAAAAACCCCTGTAGGCCAAGTCAAAGTCGTCATTCCTGCCCCTCTTTGAATGTGGACCACAGTTTGTAAGACTTGCCTAGTTCGGCTGGTTTCCCATAACTCTCAAATGTGTAAACATATTGAATTCTAATTTATCCATTTATTTTCTCATTTCCTCAGCTAGGTGATGAGCTTCCTAAGAACTTGGGGTGGTGTCTTATTGATCTCTCTATTCACTGAGCCTTCCCCAAGGACTCAGTGGGTTGCTTAAAATGTCTGCTGAGAGAAGCAATGTAACCAGCAGAACAGAGTAGGGAGTGAATAAGATAACAGCATAGCATCATTCAGGACCTAGTAGATGGACAATAAATTAGAAAACAGAACTTTTAGAAGTAATTTTTCACACAGTCATCCATTTGCTTATCCATTACCAAAGTAGCAAAAAAAAATTCCAAGTATTTTAATAAATAATCTATGTCATCTTGATAGGAAGACAATCTTGTGGAATATTTCCATGGGCAAAAGAAATGCCTTATAAGACTGTTTCAAGGACTAGAAGAATGAAGATGTATTGCACATGTGCAGGTTAGTGATGCTGGTACCTGGGCTCTGGAGCACATTTACCTTTTCAAAGTACATTAGTACCTCTTATGCCATATTAACTCTGCCAAAAGCACATAATACTGGTGGATAACTGCTGCCATTTACCTGATGAAAAAGAGTACCCAAACAGGTAAAAGATTTTTCCCTTACTTAGAGTCTTACTGCCATTGGACTGTTTTTATTTTTCTAGCTATTAAAAATTATTAAAAATGTAGAGTCTCGGTTTCCTCATCTATAAAAGGGACATAATATATTATCCACATTAATGGGTTATTGTGAGCATAACGTGGGACTGAATCCCTTTTCCATGTGAGCCATTGTGCAAAACACTTGGGATACATGGATACAGATCCTCACCTTGAGGTCATTGTGGTTTACTGAAAAAAATGATACAATCAATACAAAACTGACAGACAACCTAGTTTTTAAATGGGCAAAACACTTGAACAGGTACTTCACAAAGAGGTATACAAAATGGCCACCAACATATAAATAGATGCTTCATCGATCAGCAGGAAAATGCAAACTAAAACCACAAAGGATACCACTACACACTCTCCAGAATGGTTAAGTGGAAAAAAAAAAATAACCAAAGTTTGGTGAGAATGTGGAACCAGTGGTGTTCTCACATACCCAGCTGGGAGTGGTGATTTCTGCAACTTCTTTGGGAGATGGCACTGTGCATGAGAGTGGATGGTCCACATCCCTATGGCTCTGCGATTCCACTTGAGGGGTATACCCAACAGAAATATGTACATATGTTCCTGAAAACACATGTACTAGAATGTTCATAGCAACTATATTTGTAATAGCCCCAGCTAGAAATTCTCTAAACCCCCAGCAAGAGAGTATATAAATTGTAGTATAGTTATACACTTGAATACTATATATGGCACTAAGGTCAAACAAACCATAACTGCATTCAGTATAATAAAGATGTACCTTGCAAACAAAATATTAAGCAAGAGTGCATATTGTATCATTCCATACATATAATGTTCAGAAACAGACAAAACTAGTCTTTGGTCTTAGAAGCCAATATACTGTTACTTTACCTTGTGAGGAGGTTAGTGACAGGAAAGGACATAGAAGATATCTGGATACTGTTAATGCTTTGTTTCTTGATCTGGGTGCTGGTTGCCCATGTGTATTCATTACGTGTTTCACTTATGATTTGTGCACTGTTTCATATATAGTCTTTATTTCAAAAGTTTTAAGAGATATAATCTCCTTTTCTCTTGTAACTATTATAGGTCTAGGCAATTAACCAAAACTATCATGCAAAGTGAAGTGCCCTTGAACTTACTTTTCTTAATTTTTCATTTTCCAGGAGCAAAACATCTACTTTTAAGTCATGCACATAGATTTCATTTTCTAAGTTCTTTAGAGTTTCAAAATGATTTTTAATCTTACGGCTTTCTTGATCTCGTAAGTATTTGAGTTCTTGCTTCACTTTTTCCTGCTCAAACATAAAACCCACAATTATCTCAGAGTTAAATAAACAGGGCACCAGTGTATTAGATTGCCTGAACCACATTCAGAGAGGGGTTATAATTAATTCCTGAATCATCAGCAGAGGCTATGTATATCTTCCCTTAGAAAAACTTGATATTTAAAACTCCAGAGTTGATTCGATTCTGGGAAGATGGTGTAGTAAGAGGATCCTGAGCTCATCTCAAGCCATGGACACACTGAACTAACAGCCATATCTGTGCAACTATCTTTGAAAGTGACTCAAAGACTAGCAGAACCAACTTTCATAGAGAGGGGGCCACACTGAAAAGGGTAGGAGTGGCAGAGACATGGTTGGGAACCCAAACCCCAGCAAAACCAACCACAACAGGAGAGATACCACAAGAAGCCAGAAGATCAGACCTCATGCCAGGCACCCCAGGCATGAGGGACCCACACTGGAAAGACAAGTCTCCATAACATTTAATTTTGAAAACCAGTGGGGCTTAAATTCATGAGTCTTTACAATCAACAGGGCTTAACTCTGGTACTTTAAAAATCAGTAGGCTTAACTCTGGGAGAGCTGGAGTGCTAGAGGACAGTAGGAAACCGGGTCTCCACCCTTCAGGAGCCACCATAACAAACAATCCTGCTGAGACACAGCATAGAAGCAGCTGTTTGAAAGCACCTGGGGTATACAGGAAGATATATTTACTAATCTCAGAACATATGTTGGAGGGTCAGGGATCTTTAGGAGACCATTATAGAACAAAAGTGGTGGTGGGTGCCATTTCTCTTCCTCCCTGCTTACCCCCAACCTTGTTCGCCAGACACTTGCAGGAAGCAGCATGAATGCTCTCCACCTATCTTGTTGACTAGAGCCCTGCCCCTGTATTCCCCTGCAGACAGGCCCAATCCAACCTGCCATAACTCCGAAGACATCCCTCCAAAGTGACTCCTGCCCTGGGGAGACAGGAAGATATCCACAAAACATGCCAGTGTACCCACAGTCCCAGCAGCTGAACCTTATGGCTGGCAGCACAGTGAGAGTGCCCTGCTGATCAGTGAGCTGGCAGCCCCAGCAGACTGACTGGGGGCAGGCATCTGATCTGAGTGCAAGCCCCGCCCACCAATGAAGCCTCTCAGGGGACAAGGAAAGGAGAGTGACCTACGGCTCTGTGCAATGACAGCCCCAGCAGATGGGCTGCGAGGGGGCATCTGGTTTGAATGCTGACATCACCTAACTACAAGCCCTCAGCAGCCCCAGACTGTCCCTTTAACAGCACAGAGACCAAACCCTGCCTGGTGCACATAAAACAGGCAAAGAGGGCCATTGCAATGGACTTGACTATAGGGAAACGTGGTTCAGCCACAACAGTGGGGCGAACACAACCCACAAAGGTTAGATGCCATTGAAGTGCCCAGCTCTGGTGAACAGGGAGCACTGCACCATTGGGTACCACAGGACCTTTTCTTCATAAGGCCACTACTTACTTTCAAGATCAGGAGATGTAGCTGACTTTTATAATACATAGAAAAACAACAACAACAACAGAGTTAGACAAAATGAGGAGGCAGAGGAATAAGTGCCAAATGAAAAAAACAGGGATAAAACCACAGCAAAAGAGCCAAATGAAACAGAGATAAGCAATATCCCTGAAAAACAACTCAAATTAATGGTCATAAGGTTACTCACCGGACTTGAGAAATGAGTGGAGGATCTCAGACCTTCAATAAAGAGATACAAAATATAAAACAGAACCAGAGATGAAGAACTCAATAACTGCAATGAAAAGTCCACTAGAGGAAATCAAGAGCAGATTAGAGGAGGCAGAAGAACAGATCAGTGATCTGGATGTATTGGATGTATTGGAAAGCAACCAAGCTGAAAAGCAAACAAAAAATATAATAGAAAATGAGAAGAGGTTAAGGGCACTCAGTGATGTCATCAAGCATAATAACATATGCATTGTAAGGATTCCAGAAGAGAGAGAGAAGGAGGCAGAAAATTTATTTGAAAAAAATAATAGCTGAAAACTTCCCTAATCTGAGAAAGGAAAGAGACATCCAGATCCAGGAGGCAGAGAGAGCACCCAACAAAATTAATGCCAGGAGGTCCACACATAGTAATTAAAATGGCATAACATAGTGATAAAGAGAGAATTTTAAAAGGAGTAAAAGAAAACAGTATATACAAGGGAAATCCCATAAACCTATCAGCTGATTTTTCAGTAGAAACTTTACAGGCCAGAAGAGAGTGGCATAACATAGTCAAAGTGCTGAAAGAAAAAAGAACCTGCAACCAAAAATACTCTACTCAGCAAAGCTGTTACTCAGAATTGAAGGAGAGAGAGAGTTTCCCAAAGTTAAAAGAATTCATGACCACTAAACCTGCCTTATAAGAAATGTTAAAGGGATTTCTTTAAGTGGGAAAAAATGGCATAATCAGGAGTAAGAAAACTATGAAAGGAAAAAAATTTCACAAGTAAATTCAAACGTATAGTAAAAGTATATTAATCACTTATAAAACCAGTATGGAGGTAACGCACAAAAGGAGTAAAATCAATTATATCTATAAAAATCAGCCCAAGGATACACAATTTTTCTTTAAATGTAAAGTATGACATCATATACATAAAATGTGAGCGGGGTTAGTAAAAACTTAGTGCTTTTAGGGGCACCTGGGTGGCTCTGTCAGTTAAGCATTGACTCTTGATTTCAGAGCTCAGGTCATGATCTCAGGGCTGTGGGATTGAGCCCCAAGTTGGGCTCCATGCTGGGCATGGAGTCTGCTTGAGATTCTCTCTCTCCCTCTTCTTCTAACCCTCCTCCCCCCTTAAAAAATAAAAATAAATGGTGCTGGGAAAACTGCACACCTACATGCAAAAGAATGAAACTGGACTATTTTACTACCTTATACACAGAAATAAACTCAAAATGGATTAAAGTCCTAAATGTGAGACTGGAAACCATAAAATTCTTAATGAAAACATAGGCAGTAATTTCTTTGACATCAGCCATAAAAATATTTTCCTAGATATATCTCCTTGAGCAAGGGAAACAAAAGCAACAATAAACTACTGGGACTACATCAAAATAAAAAGTTTTGCACAGTGATGGAAACCATTAACAAAACAAAAGGCAACCTACTGAATGGGAGAAGATATTTGCAAATGATATATCTGATAAAGTGTTAATATAAAAAAATATATAAAGAACTTATACAACTCAACACCAAAAAACCCAAACAATCCAGTTAAAAAACGCACAGAGGACAGGAAAATATATTTTTCCAAAGAAGACATACAGATGACCAACACACACATGAAAAAATCCTCAACATCACTAATCATCAGGGAAATGCAAATCAAAACCACAATGAGAGATGGCAGAATAGGAGAATCCTAAGCACACTTTGTCCCACAGATACACATAGATAGCACCCATATCAGGGCAAATAACCCAGTAAACAACCTGAAAACTGGCAGAACACACTCTCCACAGCTAAATGTAGAGAAGAGGCCACACTGAAAAGGATAGCAAGGGCAGAGACATGGTCAGGAGCCAAACTGATCCATAGGAGGGAGGGACTATAGGCATAGAGAGGGGAAAGGAAAAGACCCCTCACCAGGCACCCCAGACATGGGGGGGCCTGCATTGGGAAGATGAATCCCCACAACATTGGCTTTAAAAACCAGATGGGCTTAACTTTGTGAGTTCTTACAGTTAGTGGGGCTTAACACCTAGAACTTTAAAAATCAGTGGGATGGGTGGAGAGCAATAGAAAACTTGAGTTCCCACCCTTAAAGATAAATCACAACAAACAGCTCCACTGAGATGCAGCATGGAAGTGGCAGTTTGAAAAATGCCTGGGGTACACAGGAAGGAGATTTATTTACCAATCTCAGAGCATGTACTGGAGGGGCAGGGATCTTTGGGAGACTTCTCCAAGAACAAAGGGATTGGCAGGCACCATTTCCCTTCCCAGACCCCCATACTAGATACATAGACACCTTCAGGAACCAGTGCAGCCTGAACACTCCTGCCTAGCTTGCTAACAGCATGCCCTGCCCTTATGCTGTTCCTCACATCCCCCCCCCCCCAATCTGGTAAGGCAGTTTTCTAACGTGGCTCCAGGTCCCTCCCACAGCAGACCAGCAGTGACCTTGCTGGCACCTCATGCCCCACCTCTGCATTCTTCTACAGACCTGCCCTTGGCAGTTCTCCAGGCCACAGGTCCCCTCCTGCAGCAGACCAGCACACAATTTTCTAACAACATGCCCTCACCCGTATTCTCTTGTAGACCCACCCTTAGCAGGAGTGCATCCAAAGCAGTGCCCCAAGCCTGGCAATGTGCAAGCATCCCTGACTGAGGCCAGCACCATTCCAAAGTGACTCCTGTCCCAGGGAGAGGGGAAGATAACCATACACATTTGTCTGATTTAGACCCCAGCAGTGGGCTGGGGGCAGACATCTGGTCTGACTGCAGGCCCCACCCACCAATGAAAGCTTCTCAAGAGGACAACACTGCAAAGCACCTTACAGTTCAGTGCTACCACAGCTCCGGCAAATGCCTAGTCTGACTCAGCTCAAGCCCAAGGTGACCCCAGACTGGTTCACTAACAGCACAGGGACAAAGTCCTGCCCACAATAGTCAGAGAGAACCATTGCAGACAGCTGGACTGAAGGCAAACATGGTTCCACCACAGAAGTAGGGTGCATGCAACACACATAGAAGACCGCTTGAGGCACCAATTTCTGGTGAACAGGGAACACTGCACTGCAGGGCATTACAGGACGTCTTCTTCATAAGGCCACCACTTTCAAGAGCAGGAGACATAGCTGATATTCCTGACACATGGGAACAGACACAGAGAGTTAGTGAAAATGAGGAGACAGAAGAATATGTCCCAAACGAAAGAATAGGATAAAATCACAGCAAGAGAGACAAATATATTCAGAATATTCCATCCTGAAACAGTGGAATACATATTCTTTTCAAGTACACATGGAACATTCTCCAGAATAGATCACATATTAGGCCACAAAACAAATCTCAGCAAACTCAAAAAGACAAATCATACCATGCATCCTTTCCAACCACAATGCTCTGAAACTAGAAATCAACCACAAGAAAAATCTGGAAAGAACATATATATGTAACTTAAATATGCTACTAAACAATGAATGGGTCAACTAAGAAATCAAAGAGGAAATAAAAAAATACATGGAGACAAATGAAAATGAAAACATAACAGTCCAAAATCTTTGGGGGTGCAATAAAAGCTGTTCTGAGAGGGAAGTTTATAGCAACACAGGCCTACCCCAAGAAGATTGAAAAATCTCAAATAAACAACCTAACCTTATACCTAAAGGAGCTAGAAAAAAAGAACAAAGCCCAAAGCCAGTAGAATGAAGGAAATAATAAAGATTAGAGCAGAAATAAATGAAATAAAAATTAAGAAAAAAAAACAATAAAACAGATGGATAAAGTCGGGAGCTGGTTCTTTGAAAATGTAAACAAAATTGATAAACCGTTAGCCAGACTTATCATAAAAGAGAGAGAGAGAGAACTCAAACAAAATCAGAAATGAGAGAGGAGAAATCACAACCAACACCACAGAAAACAAAACAGAAAAGGATTGTAAAATAATATCATGAAAAATTATATGCCAACAAATTAGACAACATAGAAGAAATGGAAACATTCCTAGAAACATATCCCCCAAAACTAAATCAGGAAGAAATAGAAAATTTGAACAGACTGATTACCAGCAATGAAATTGAATCAGCAATCATAAAACTCCCAACAAACAAAAGTCCAGGATGAGATGGCTTTGCAGGTATATTCTACCAAACATTTAAAGAAGAGTTCATACCTATTCTTCTCAAACTATTCCAAAAAAATAGAAGATGAAGGAAAGCCTCCCAATTCATTCTATGAAGCCAGCATTACCCTGATACCACAACCATGTAAAGACACTACAAAAAAGGGAAATTACAGGCCAATATCTCTGATGAACACAGATGCAAAAATCCTCAACAAAATACTAGCAAACTGGATCCAACAGTACATTAAAAAAATTATTCATCCGGATTCAAGTGGGATATTCCTTGGATGCAAGTATGGTTGAATATTTGCAAATCAATCAACATAATACATCATGTCAACAAAGGAATGGAGACAAACCATATGATCATTTCAATAGATGCAGAAAAAGCATTTGACAAAGTATGACATTTTTCATGATAAAAACCCTCAACAGAGTAGGTTTAGAGTGACCATACCTCAACATAATAAAGGTCTTATATGAAAACCCCACAGCTAACAGCATACTCAATGGTGAAAAACTGATAGCTTTCTCCCTAAGATCAGGAAAAAGACAAGAACGTCCACTCTCACAAGATCCCCTCCCCCCAACATAGTACTGGAAGTCTGAGCCACAGCAATTAGACAAGAAAAAGAAATAAAAGGTATCCAGATTGGTAAGTAAAAATTTCATTGTTTGCAGATGACATGATACTCTATATAGAAAACCCTGAAGACTCCACCAGAAAACCACTAGAACTGATAAATGGATTCATTAAGTTAGCAGGATACAAAATCAATATATAGAAACCTGTTGCATTTCTATACACCAATAATGAAGTAGCAGAAAGAGAAATTAATGAAACAGTCCCACTTACAATTGCACCAAAAATAATAAAATACCTAGGAGTAAGCTTAACAAAGGAGGTGAAAGACTTGTACTCTGACTATAAAACATTGATGAAAGAAATAGAAGATGACACAAACAAATGGAAAGATAACCCATACTCACAGACTGGGAGAACAAATATTGTTTAAACATTCATACCACCCAAAGCAATCTACGGATTTAATGCAATCCTTATCAAAATACTAATAGTATTTCTCATAGAACTAGAACAAATAATACTAAAATTTGTATGGAACATCACAAGACCCTGAATAGCCAAAGCAAGCTTAAAAAGAACAAAACTGGAGGTATTACAATCCCAGACTTCATGATATTCTACAAAGCCATAGTAATGAAAACAGTATGGTACTGGCACAAAAACAGACATATAAACCAATGGTACAGAATAGAGAACCCAGAAATAAGCCCACAATTATATGGTCAATTAATCTTCAACCAAGGAGGCAAGAATATGCAATAAAGACAGTCTCTTCAACAAACAGTGATGGGAAAACTGTACATCTACATGCAAAAGAATGAAGCTAAACCACCTTCTTACACCATACACAGAAATAAACTCAAAATGGATTAAAGACCTAAATGGGGAACCTGATACCATAAAAATTCTGAAAGAGATCACAGGTAGTAATTTCTCTGACATCAGCCATAGCAACATTTTTCTAGGTATGTCTCCTGAGGGAAGGGAAACAAAAGCAAAAATAAACTATTGGGACTACATCAAAACAAAAAGCTTCTGCACAGCAAGGGAAGCAATCAACAAAACTAAAAAACAACCTGATGAAGGGGAGAAGATATTTGCAAATGACATATCTGACATACACTTTTAGTATCCAAAAATATAAAGAACTTATACAACTCAACACTAAAAAACCAAGTAGTCCAATTTAAAAATGAGCAAAAGACATGAACAGACATTTCTCCAAAGAAGACATTCAGATGGCCAACGGACACATGAAAAGATGCTCAACATCACCCATCAGCAGGACAATGCAAACCAAAATCACAATGAGATATCACCTCACACCTGTCAGAATGGCTAAACAAAAAACTCAAGAAACAACAAGTGTTGGTGAGAATGTGGAGAAAAAGGAACCCTCGGGCACTTTTGGTGGGAATGCAAATTGGTACAGCCACTGTGGAAAACAGTATGGAGTTTCCTTGAAAAATTAAAAATAAAAATACCCTACAATCCAGGAATCGTACTACCTGGGTATTTACCCAAATAATATGAAAAGCTAATTTAAAGGGATATATCGACCCCTTGGTTTATTGTAGCATTATTTACAATAGCCAAGATATGGAAGCAACCTAAGTGTCCATGGATAAATGAATGGATAAAGGAGATGTGGTATATATATATACAGAATGGAATATTCCTCAGTCAAAAAAACAAATGAGATCTTGCCATTTGCAATAACATGGATGGACCTCGAGTGTATAATGCTTAGTGAAATAAGTCAGCCAGGGAAAGACAAATACCATATTGATTTCACTCTTACATGGCATTTAGAAACAAAACAAACAGAAAAAAGTACACAAACAAAAAAACAGACTCTTAAATACAGAGAACAAACTGGTGGTTGCCAGAGGGGTGGTGGGTGCCAGGATGGGTATAGTAAGTAAAGAGGATTAAGAGTACACTTATTGTGATGAGCACTGCGTACTGTATAGCATTGTTGAAAGATCATATTGTACACCTGAAATTAATATAACACTATATGTTAATTATACCTGAATAAAAAATAAAACTCCAAAGCTGATTTATGGAAATTTTTTCATAAACTTTGGGAAGCAAGTTAAGACAAGTTGTTGAAACAATTTCATAAAATAGAATATATTTGATATATGAACAACTGTATGGCAAAAATGGGGGAGAAAGAAGTGGACTTTATTGAGCCTTTTTCAGGGAAAATTTCATATTTCTTGAGGAGAAAAGAATATTACTTTATGGATTTTTCAGAATTTTCTACTGAATTCTGTATTTGGTTCTTAGTCATTATACTGTTATAAATCACATAATCTTTAGTCATTGTATAATCATCATTAGCAGAATCTTACTAAGAAAATACAATTGCATATATAATATACTTACTAGTACTCTTCCCCTTCATCTTTCTCTATATCCACAACATGTTAAAAGTTACTTTTGATATCAGTGCATCTCAAAAAATAGAATGTTTCTATTTTTAACTGGCCAACTCTACACACATATGTTTATCATTAACTACTGATTATACATTTTAAAAAGGTAGTAAACGTCTCTTTACCTTCTCTCATTTCATATAGACCACTCCCTCCCCACCTCTGCAACCTCTGTGCACTTATCCTGGTCTTCACAGGAAATTACAGAATAACAGATCTGAAAAGAACCTTAGAAAGCATCTTCCAATCTCTAACTTAAATAAGAAAACTGAGCCCCCCCCCAATGATTTTCCCATGATTACATGTTAGTTGCGTCTAGAGTCTCTATGTTTACATACATACATACACACACACACAATTACAGTTTGTATATATCAGTATTCTAATAAATGAAAGAAGGAATGCATTGACTCTTTACCGTGTTGCTAAAATATCTCGAAAAGTCTTTTGCCATTTGAGAAATGTAATCATTTAGTAAATTCTGCTCCTGCTTTTGTGCTATAAGAGAAAAAATAAATACCCACAATGTTTAGCTTTAAAAAATGAAAATAAGGCATGTGCCTAATTTTAAAAGTCATATACTATTATAAGGCTTATAACAAAAAACAGACGTCAGGTGCTTTCCAATGTAGTACCCACCCTTATGTTTGACTCCTCTGAATTAACCATTTTTAAGATCATTTTGACTTTTTCTTTCATTTTTTTAATAAATGCTTATATGGCTATTTCTTGATTTGTCATTTTAAGACATTTTCTACTTTCTTCCTAATATAGAAGAGAACATAGAATGCTTACTCCCATTCCCATGTCCCCCTCCCACACTTACAACCTACCTCTATGTTTCCCCCTTCTAACCTCCCCATAAATTCATGTTTTTTAAAATGAATTTTAACTATTTAGATTATGACAATGTAAATATTATTCACAGATGAGACAAATGGTGTTGTATAATTATACCTCCTCTCTGGTATAATTTTTTGTTTTTCTAGGAGTTAAAAATAGCCTCACTTTTTTTTACTTGCTTAGTTTTCCATGTACACATTAATTCATTAAAATCTGTAATAGAATTGTAAAATCTTCCAAATATTACTTCTCATGCGGTCAAACACCTTAGGTGATCTATCAGCTCCATTCACCTTCCCTTCCCCACTGCTTTCTGTGTTTGTTTTTCTTTAGGCCTCCTGCACAGCTGAACACCTGGGACTTTCCTTTGCATCCCCCTTATGCTGGACTCCGGTTTCCTGAATTTCACATCGTCCTCTTTTTCTTGATTTATTCCCTCTTTGCTGAAGCAAGTTTTGTACTAACTTCTTGAGACAGAGTAAATGAAACATTTTGAGGTCTTATATATCTGAATGCAGCTCTATTCTATATTTGTACTTGACTAATAGTTTGGATGGGCAGCTAATGTTGGAAAGTATTTTCTCTCAGAATTTTGAAGGCAATGTCTTCTAACGTTTAGTATAATATTACAGTTAAGAAGTCTAAAACCATTCTGATTACTAATATTTTGTGTAAGATCTGCTTTTTCTCTCTAGAAGCCTTTGGGATATTTTTTTTCCTCCTGAAATTCCAAAGTGATGTACTTAGTGTCTTTTCTTTCAAAAATTGCACTGGGGATTTGATGGGCCTTTTCAAATAGAAAAATCATATTCTCCAATTCTGAGAAATATTTTTGTATTATTTCTTGGATAACTTTATCCTTTGCATTTTTTTCTATCTTCTTTTTTCTGGCCTTCCTGTTAGTCAACATCTCAGAATAGTCTTCTAATTTTCTTACTCTTTTATCCTGTTCCTCACCTCCTTATTTTTTGTTCTATTTTTGGAGAGATTTCCTCAACTTTTCTTAGAATCCTCCTATGGAATTTTAAAATTTTGGTTGTTATATTTTTCATTTCTAAGAACTCTTTCTTGTTTTCTGTTCTTTCTTTAAGCATCTTGTTCTTTTTTCATAAATGCAGTATCTTTTTCCTCTACAAATATAACTCTTATATCCTCCATAACATATAGAATGTATACTTTGTATAATATGTAGAAACTATAAATACACATTATATATAATATAGAGAGAATATATATTCTCTGAGAATGTATCTTTAAAAGTATTCTCAGATTCTTTGTGTCATCTATGTTTCCATCAACTTCTGTTTTTCTGTCTGCTTTAGTTTCTACCTTTCATTTTGGAATTTTTCCTGAGGTGTCTGGTGATCTTTGATTGTCTAATCCTATTTAAGCATGAGGCACTAAAATTTCAGTTCCTGGGTGGGCTTCACGACACAGTAATCAGGAAGGGACAAGGCATTTTGTTGGGGGGATCCTCAAATGTTAGATTATGTAGGGCTTTTCTCTGAGATGGTTTGGTTTCCTTAGAGAAGAATCCAACCACCTCCTTCTTCAGAGTGGGGAAGGGATTACAGAATAGTCACACACAACTGGCTGGCAGCCTTCATCAAGCTGAGCAGTGGAAGGGGTCTCTGTACAGCATCTGTCTTCTACCCTCAGTCATATTTGCTATCCTGCAGTTTAGAATCTGTTGGAAGGAATAGTCACTCAGCTGCACAGAAGAGGGCATCTGACCTGCAGGTCTCATTGCTTGTTATAAAGATTTTCAACCAATCTTCAGCCCCGTGACTCATCTCAGCTTCAAGGTATCAGGGTCCTCCAATGCCCAAGACTTGCCCTGGCATTGTCTCTCCTGTGAAGAGAACATCTTGCTTTCATGGTATGCTTTTTTGCAGGCACTTGCTATTCATATTTCCCTTCCTGTTAACAAATCTATCCAATTACACCTTCTAAAAATTTGTTGATGCTTATTATCTGTGGATATCTTCTCTGCCAGTCTCTGTACTTGTGAGTTTATAACTTTTTTCCCTAAAAAAACATCTTTTACATATATTTTTTATGAAGTTTCATTAGGGAGAAAAGATAGATGCATGTTTTACCCATCATATTTAACCAAAAGTCATTGCATTGTTTTTTATATGTACTGAGCTGATTCTATCCTCTGTTAAGTCTCACTGCTGGCAGGTGAAGCATATTTTCCTACTCTCTGGAACACATTGCTCTTATGGTCCCTTTACTACCTTTCTCTTGCCTTCCCATCTTTTCTCTACTTTCTTTTTTTTTTAGAAGATTTTATTTATTTATTTGACAGAGAGAGAGACAGCGAGAGTAGGAACACAAGCAGGGGGAGTGGGAGAGGGAGAAGCAGGCTTCCCGCAGAGCAGGGAGCCCGATGCGGGACTCGATCCCAGGACCCCGGGATCATGACCTGAGCCGAAGGCAGACGCTTAACGACTGAGCCACCCAGGTGCCCCTTTTCTCTACTTTCTTTAGTAGTTCTCTCTTTTCTTTGCCTCAAGAGAATCAGAACTTGCAATATATGGCAATACATTGCTTATTTTCATACTCATCCTGTTTCTTACATCCTCCACCTAGCACAAGAAGGGACGGGAGGAAAGATTGGGGATGGACTACATGTGTATCATGACTCTTTGTAGAAGTAGCAAACAAACAAACAAACAAACAAAAATCTACCTGAGTTAACTAAATGAAAATCTGGCAATAATTGGAAAATCAATGGAGGAATGGCAACCAGACCAATTATCCAAAGTACTTATTCTTATAACCTTATATATTTTTTATTTTTATTTAAATTAAATTTAATTAACATATACTATATTATTAGTTTCAGAGGTAGAATTTAGTGATTCATCAGTTGCAGACAATAGCCAGTGCTCATTACTTCAAGTGCCCTCCTTAATGCCCATCACCCTGTTACCTCATCTGCCATCCACCTCCCCTCCTGCAACCCTGTTTGTTTCCTGTAGTTAAGAGTCTCTTATGGCTTGTCTCCCTCTCTATTTTCCTCTTATTTTATTTTCCCTTCCCTTCCCCTACATTCATCTGTTTTATTTCTTAAATTCCACATATGTGTGAAATCATATGGTATTTGTCCTTCTCTGACTTATTTTGCTTAGCATAATAGCCTCTAGTTCCATCTACATCATTGAAAATGGCAAGATTTCATCTTTTTGATGGCTGAGTAATATTCCATTGTATATATATACCACATCTTCTTTATCCATTCATCTGTTGATGGACATCTGGGCTCTTTCTGTAGTTTGGTTATTGTGGATATTGCTGCTACAAACATTGGGGTGCAGGTGCCCCTTCAGATCACTAAGTTTCTATTCTTTGGATAAATACTTAGTAGTGCAATTGTTGGTTATAGGGTAGTTCTATTTTTAATGTCTTGAAGAACCTCCATACTGTTTTCCAGAATGGCTGCACCAGCTTGCATTCTCACCAACAGTGTAGGAGGGTTCCCCTTTCTCTGCATCCTCACCAACATCTGTTGTTTCCTGACTTGTTAATTTTAGCCATTCTGACTGGTGTGAGGTGGTATCTCATTGAGGTTTTGATTTGTATTTCCCTGATGCCGAGTGATGTTGACCACTTTTTCATATGTCTATTGGCCATCTGAATGTCTTCGTTGCAGAAATGTCTGTTCATATCTTCTGCCCATTTCTTGACTAGATTTTTTCGTTTTTTGGGTGTTGAGTTTGATAAGTTCTTTATAGATTTTGGATACTAGCCCTTTATCAGATAAGACATTTGCAAATATCTTCTCCCATTCCATAGGTTGCCTTTTAGTTTTGTTGACTGTTTCCTTTCCTGTGAAGCTTTTTATCTTGATAAAGTCCCAATCATTTTTGCTTTTGCTTCCTTGTCTTTGAAGACATGTCTAGCAAGAAGTTGCTACTGCTGAGGTCAGAGAGGTTGCTGCCTGTGCTGTCCTCTAGGATTTTGATGGATTCCTATCTCACATTTAGGTCTTTTATCCATTTTGAGTTTATTTTTGTGTATGGTGTAAGAAAGTGGTCCAGTTTTATTCCTCTGCATGTTGCTGTCCAATTTTCCCAACACCATTTGTTGAAGAGACTGTCTTTTTCCATTGGATATTTTTTTTTAAAAGATTTTATTTATTTATTTGAGAGCGAGAATGAGAGAGAGAGAGAGAGCATGAGAGGGGGAGGGTCAGAGGGAGAAGCAGACTCCCTGCTGAGCAGGGAGCCCGATGCGGGACTCGATCCCGGGACTCC